CCTGGGGGCAAGGTGCCTCTGATTGATCTTGCTTTAAAATTTCGTCAATCACCTACAACAAAAGGGGTCTATAATCAACCAAGGTGGGATATATTCAAAAGGAACAAAATAAGCTTACATCACAAGCCTCCCATGCACGCTGATGACTCTCCCGCTTGATATTCCAACGAATACCGTAAGCAGCCAGTAGATCACGGACAGTCAATTTCATTGCCTTGGCAATTGATCGGAAGTATAGACGATTAGCTGCAGATCCTGTTATCTTGCAAAGTACAAAATCGAGCTAAGATCAAAGAGTGCGTAGATAAGCTTTAGAACCTGATCAGCTTTTGTGATTTCAAGAAAACTCTTACCTTCTTCAAGACACCATTCAATCTCTGTGCACGCGCTTGATCAGAAATAGTTAATTCATCTGCTTGAGCTTTTGCTTTCAGTCTAGCATCTCGTCTTGAATCTCGCCAAGCCTGAATATCAGGGATATTTGCATTGTTTTCAGAATCCTCTTTGGCATTGGCATTGGAATGAGAATCTTCTGGAGGGATCAATTCATTGTCATTCTCGGATAGACAGCCGTAATCTTCAAGCTCTAATTCAGGTTGATTGGCAATGTTGTTGAAAAAGGAAGGGTCAAGAGTTCCATTTAGCTCAAGCTCATCATGCTCAAGTTCAAGTTCAGTCGGATCTGGGTCAAGTTCAGTTGGATCTGCTGGAATTACAGGTGGGTTAGACTTGGCAGCTATGATTTTGTCCTCTGATTCCTCTGGAATGGTCTGTAAGTGATTGTCAAGTGGAAATTGTCCTCGGGCAAGATCTTGAACGCTTTTTCCAGTCCGACCTTGAATGCCAAGAGCTGCAAGGCCATTATTGACAACAAGTGCAAGTTTGTGCGCGAAGCACCAGACATGCATAGTGTTGGGATTCCAGGAATAATTCTTGTTTTCGCTCTCAGCAATTGATTCCAGAGATTTCTGCATTGCAGCTGCCATTGTATTGTTGTTAGACCCAGAATCAGTGGTCTGAGAAAGCATGTAGAAACAGTAACACATATATAATCAGATTCGGTAAAGGATTTAAAAAGACCTGGGGAAGAGAATTAATGTGGAAGACTTATCTGTGAATATAGGCCATTCTTCTGCAAAAAGTTAACCATTGGAGCAGAGAGCCATTCCCCTTTGTGATACCACAATATGAGCTTGAGACCAAGATGATGGGAGATATAAGTAAAATCCTCGCCAATGTATGAGACCGAATACCCCAGGAATGCGTATTGATTCCCTTTTGTGGTCCAGGCATCATGTTGCAGGTTAAACATGCTCGTGTTGTTCTGGTACGTGAAAGGGAGGAATGTTTGAGATTTTTGGCTGGAAAGCAGAAAACACGGTAAACATACCTTTAATTGCCCAATAACTTTCTCACTGAGCACCAAGTATAGCCAATGGGCTTGAAGGGCTGCCCATTGTCGACCATAGAGATGAGCACTTGGATTTGAGTATCGGAACGAGGCTCGAAGTTCAGGATCTTCTATCCTTGACCAAGGTAATGCTCTTCGAAGCATCCGAAGTAGCACCATTTGATTCAATACTTGATTGTTGAATTTTGATCAACATTTTATCGCAGCTAAAGATGCTTCTGATATTGGTAAAAATCCACTATTGGTAGCATTCTTGATTTCACAAAGTTCGGCCACAGTGGAAGGAAGAGATAGGCCAGAATATATTGCCTCCTCGCGTTTATTACATGATGAATTACCCGACTTTGAACTCTGCTTTGATCCATCACGATGGGCCAGAAGATTCGAGTTTGATGAGACTGCACCCCGCACATCCTGATTGCACCATTTACAATGGTATAAAGTTGGTTCTGCATCTGGAGGCTATTTATTTCAGAGGTTGAGGTGATCAGCACGAGTTAGTAAGGCAAAGTTTGTATAGAAGATATGGCTCACATCCTCCTTTGGACGGATAGGCCCCTCAAAATAGTCCAAGATTGGTTCAGTCGCAAGTACTGTTGATTTTGACCTTCGTGGAGCATGTGATCGACAGTTTTCTGCTCCAGAATCTTGGGCCAAGTTGATCACTGTTTCATCAAGCTATTATTGAACTGTTCAGTATGAGTAACAAATTATAGTTGCGATAAAAGAGCCTACCTCAAGAGCTGTAGTTTGCGCAGGAGCTTGTCCAACAGTCTTCTTCTTACTTTGACCATTTTTCTTCGCGGCAGATTTCGCTGTCTTCTTTGGAGTTGATCTTGACTTTTTTGTCCTCTTTGCAGAAGGCTCAGCCGCAGAGGAGCAGTCTGACTGGGCAACTGATGACGCTCTCTTGCTTCGACGAAGTGGCGCAGGTGGTGGATTGTTCTCCAAACCCATATCTGTCTCTGGCAGATCTGACGCTTCGGTAGTCTCGCTGACATCTCTGGTATGGTTTGGCTGCCTCGATGGCCTCTGTGAGGTTTGGAGAGGGATCCCCGCGCGAGAAGTGGCAGATGGTCCCGATTGAGATTGTGATTGGTGTTGCTGTGACATTGGGAGGTGTCTGATAAGATCGAATATTGTTATTGATTCGAGTTGACCAATGCTGACAAATGATCATTGACAACACCAGTTTGTATAATCAAAATGTCACAAAGGTTTTGCTCTTGCACCAGTCAAGAAGCTGAAAACCTTTGCTTGCAGATAAGAGGAAGTTGGGCCAGATCGAAGCTTGAGTGTGTCAGGTGAGGAGCTGGTTGTTTAACTTGAATTAATCAAGCTGCAAATTGGATTGAGGAATTGACATCAATACAGAACATCAGTGAAATGATTTGAATTGAATGTTATTTCATAATAATAAGAGATCTTACAATATTTGAATGCTTAAACAGACTGCCGATCGATGTAGATTGAGGGTGTTTAGGTCATTGTTTTATAAGTTTAAGTTTTTTAGTATCAACAGCCACTTTTTGTTGTTTAAGTACCTTGAAGTGCGACTTGAGTGGATGGAGTTGTGGGATCTTGTTAAGGTTGAATAAGTGAGATGTGACGATAGACTTGTTGTTGCTGATGTTGTTGATAGTCGAGCTGGATCGATTGGTTGTGAGTGAGATATGAATCAGGTGTTGTTGACCAGCGACCTGATAAGTTAGATTCTTCCAATATCGGGAGTATAGGCAATACTCCCAAAGTATAGATTTAAAATCCGTTACTATACTGGCTACACATGTAGTATAGTACAAAGGACCGATACTATACTCATAGCCAGCATAGTACTGCAACCCGTTACTATACCCATCTATACCGATATGGGTATAGTATAGTTGCACTCTTGCTAAAAGTACTGTAACAAATATGTCCTATAATGATAGAAAAACAATATCCAGTAAAGCTGAGTCTGAGATTGACAGTGAAAGCAATTATGATATTAGAAATCAATTTTACTGCATTGTCAGCTGTGAAGGCAAAACTACAACCAGTGTCACTTCAGGCATCAATTGATGTCTCATGATTTCATGGGCAGTAATTTCAATCTTTGGTCTGAAATTATCAAACTGAATCTGACACTGAATCAATACCCGAACCGCATCGCACTATATGGCGATTGCGGAGCGATGTCGTAGCGTTTTTTGGGTGCGCCATGGGTTCCGCAATACATGGTGGAGATTCCGCACCGCACACCAGGGCTGGCCTTTCCCATAGCGGAGCATTTGCTGCGCAACCGGGACCAGGAGGTCTTTCTCCGCTATATAGCGGAGAAAACCAGTGGGGTACAGGGTATCACGCCAGACCACGCCACATCTACAACTAGGCGCAAAACAACTAGACTTTTTCTTTTACAGAACACGATCACAATCAAACTCAAAAGATAATTATTCGATTGCAGACACCAGGACTTGAAAGAAACACTTGACTAACTCCCTTCTTCAAAAGGGACCAAAACCTCAACTCGGACACTTTAATCAAAAAAACTCAAAACACTCCACTCCTGATCCAACGATCAGATGAACACAATGATAATACTGAAATGACCCAAAAAAATCCACTCAATTGACGGACACACACAAACTCACACACGGACACACACAAAACTAACCACCTCTTTTCTTTCATCTCCAATCTCGATCTCACAAATTTCGCATTTTACTTCGATCGGAGTTTGTTCAATCACGGTAAGTTGTCTCTCTCCTCTCCTCCTGATCTTTTAATCACTAACTGTATCTCTTCCACTTACTCTCCACTATCTCATAGCTTTACTCGTTCAGGTTTTGATTGTAGGGTACTTTATCATTATCTAAGTAAGTTTCTGATCGATCTTTTGTTTGTCTGTTCTTCTTACTGACTCATTTGATTCATATCAATGTTATCTTCTTTGATTTTAATGCCTCTCTTTGTTTTTAGGTACTGTTAGGTCTGACCGATCACGATCAATCACGAGTTCATCTTCTTCTTGAGATTCATCTTCTTGATAAAGTGTAATTTTGATCATGGCATTTGAATTTTATGTAGAGAAGATGACAAAGAAAAAAAGGACAAATGATATATTCCATCCTTTTGTGAAGTTCAAATATTTGATTTTAACATTTATTGTTTTGTTTCCTCTTATAGTTCCTTTTTGTTATGTTTATCTTTTGTTTTGTTTTTCTTTTTGAAATACCTTCAACCCATAGCGCCTTCTCATATAGCGCGCTATATAGCGCAAAAATAGCGGTACGTACCGCTTTGACATTGTGAGAATTTTTTTTTTGTCTAAATAGTGCAGCCGGAGCGATCGGGCTCATAGCGCAGGCTGCGCATCACTATGGAAAACGGTGAAATTCCATAGCGTGTCGTAGCGGTTCGGGTGTTGTCTGAATTCTATGATTGCAGGGGTTGGTAACTGAATTCAAAAAAGGTTCCAGAATGCTTCATTGTATTGTTGCCACTGAAGTCATTTCTTTTGATAGTAATATGTTGGATCTTGGAGGTGCAAGAGGGTGCAAGTATCAGAATCTGTCAAAAAGCTTCAATGCACCTCTTGATTGCATTTATGATTGGATATCAAGAGTATGATGGCAATTTTGTTTTTCCTAGCAAGGCGGGTTTGGTGGATAATATGAGGCAGACCCAACGGAGATCAAACATGCATTGTAATCGAGGTTTTTCACATGGTGTTAGTCTGCCTGATGAGATCACATTGATTAGTTTTTGATGTTCCTCACTTCAAGAATTTAGAGGTGATGTTTAAGATCATGATGCTGTGTCATGCTCAAGTGTGAAAACAGACTAAAAAGAGAGTTGTGAAGTGCATGAGATCTGGGTGCCATTAAGCACCCTTAATTTATCATATGATATCAGTGGGCTTTAGATTAAGAAGTGTGTAAGAGCGTGTTTACTTTAGTGATTTCTCGTGAGAAATCGCATTCTTGAAATCCAAGAAATCACATTTCACAGAATGCGTTTGATAACTTAATTACAAGCATTCTTGAAATCCGAGAATGCTCATAAAAAGACTTTTTCTAGCACATTCCAAGAATTCACTTGCAGCGAATTCTTCTAGAAGAAATCACATTCTCATGATCTCTTTTTCTCATTTCCCTTTTCTCTAATTTGGACAAGTCCCCTTCCACCGTACGGAATCCCACACACCCCTCAAAACCCATCTTCTAACACCTTCCACTGCCATCTCTACTCGTCTATCTATCTCGATTCCCATCTACTCATCATCAATCAACTCAACCACTTGACTCAAAATGCCTAATTCTGATAGCAACGACAACGTCATTGTTGAGCCACCTTCACAAGCGAAACCAAAGTCAAAATTGAAAGCAAAACCAGCCAATAACAAGATTATTAAAGTTAAAGATGTCAAAGTTAAAGATAATGATCAGGTTCAGGAGAGTGCTACTGGTGGTCAATGGACTCATCATCAAACACTTTATCTTATTGACGAGTTCAAGAAACAACTGGACCTTGGAAAAGGAAACGACGGCGGCATCAAGACCGATGCTTGGAAACAAGTTTTGACTAACTATAACGATAAATTCAAAGTTAACGAGCCTTTGACCCAATTAAAAAACCGTATTCAAAAGGTTTTTTCTAACTTATTCATCTCCTTTCGTTCGAGTCAATCTGAACTAATGAATATGATGCTTCGATATTCAGTTAAAGACAACCCTCAAAGCTCTAGAGAAGATAATGGATACTTTGGGCGCTCCTGGAGTAGATACAACTAGCGGGATAGTCAACGCTGATGACAAATGGTGGGACCATTGGATTAAAGTAGTAAGTTTTTATTTTAAATTTCATATGTTCAACTTTCATATGTATCATCTAATCATCCTATCCTTCGATTAGGCCGGTAATCTCAATGCAAGACCAATTCGGAACGGTGGATTTCCAGTGTATCAAGCTGTAGCCACCATCATGCCAGAAAAGCAGCTGAGAGCGAATGGTGCTGAAGGCTTTGGAACTCAGAGTAAAAAGAAGAAACAGCCATCACCAAGTCAATCAATCGAGGGTGTGGAAGGTAGGCTTCTGTTTCATCTGTATATACTTGATTGAATTTTCGATACTGATGGCTTTCATTCATTTGTTAGATCATGTTGCATCTGAACACGAGTCAAATGGAGATGAAAATCACATGTCCAACTCCGCAAAGGACTCGGTTGTTGAGGAGATTGAAGGTGCGAGGCCAGCTTCTTCACAAAAGAAGAAGAAAACTCCTGCTGTGCGTATCAAATTTCATTTTTTTGACTTATATCTTTCACTTCTAATCTTTCACTTCTAATCTTTCACTTCAAATCAATTAATCCAAATCTATCTCATTCAAATCAATTGATTCTAATCTTTCACTTCAAATTCAAATTCAAATCAAATTCAAATCAAATCAAATTCAAATCAAATCAAATTCATTCAAATCAAATTCAAATCAATTCAAATTCAATTCAATTTATTCAATTTATTCAATTCAAGAAGCGCAAGTTTAGCAAGTTTAAAAATAAGTACGCTCTCACAGCTGCTGAAAAAGCCATGGACAGCGACACCGATGACGAGACCCCAGAATTGAAATTTGCACGTAATAAGAGGAGCCCAGTCGTCCCAGAAGGATCAACTGCAACTGCCAAACGATCACGCCTCACTGGACCAAAGCTAGTCGCACAATCAATCAATTCAGCCATTGATCAAGTATCAGGGCTAGAGGAACAACACAAAAGCAATAAGGTCACTATTGCTAAAATTAAATTAGAGCAACATCCGATGAGGCAAGAAGCCATGAGCATTTTTAATAAGGAGTTTAGTCAAGAATTAAAACCTAAACATATCATCAAAGTAGCTAATGAATTAAAAAAAGATGATACTGCTTCTTTTTTCTTTCACATGGATAAAGCTTACAGGTGGGATTGGTTGAAGAGTGAAGCTGGAATATTAGCAGAGTATCCAGAGGTAGATGAATAATTATGTATTTCATTTTCCTTTTTTTGTATCTGACAACTCAAACAAAAGATAACATATTTAAAGATAAAAAACATTTCCTATTTTGTATCTGAGAACTCAAACAAAAATAAAACATGTATGCCATACACTGCAGACATTATTCGGGTTCCCCAAGTGGGCAGGGAAAAATGATTGGGAGTATGATTTGTCATAAAATGGTCTATCACTCCACACCTGAGCCATAACACCCACACTACATATGTGTAGCAGGCTCAGTGAATATGTGGTTATCATGTACATACAGTTCTGCTCAGTTATCTGCTCATCAGGACAAGTTATTCATATGTAATACATGCTGTAACTTCTTTCAGATTGAAAAAAGCTTCCAAAAGATTGACTACATACACTGACTCAATGTTTTGGTGTGATCTCATCAACTCAACTGCATGTAACACACTTTCTGTTACTAAGACATAGCTTCAACAATATTGCCTGAGCAGCTACAGAATTATATGTAGTGAATTTTTGGGAAAAAAATTTCAAAGTCGAAAAAGTTACATGTGGTATAACATGTGATTTATTTATTCTGATGGGCAAAAAACTGAGCAGACCTGTATGTACATGATAGACAACTATTGACTTAGCTTGCTGCACATATGTAGTGTGGGTGAAATGGCCCAGGTGTGCAGTATTAGATTCTTTTATGAAAAACTGTACTATTAATCATTTTCCTCTGCCAAATTGGGGAAGTTGAATGATGTTTACAGTGATATGCTATAGTAATGAAATATTGCTATTTTCTTTTTAATGATGATGAATTGATGAATAAGATGAGACTTGCAAAATTCATAACTAAAAGCTCCAAAAGAGATCATGAATACAAATATTACATAAGAATCCAGGCTTGCCTACGCGCCACAGGTGCATTAACATAATCATAGAACATCCTTTCAGCAATTTGATCTCTCTGTTCAGATGCTTGAGTACGCTGGGTAGGGTTAGGCTCAACGCAGTCAGGATCCATGTTATTACCACCTAATATGTTCTCCAATCTTTCCTTCAACATATACTCTTCGTAGAATTCATCTTCGCCAGTTTCAATTCGGATAATATTATGTAGTACACAACAAGCTATCACAATCAAGACTTGGATCTTGTAAGGATAGGAAGGCATCAAAGCTAGGATCGGAAACCTCATCTTTGATACACCAAAGATCTGTTCGATGATGATTTGAAGTGAGGAATGGCGATGGTTAAACAACTCTTTAGGTGTCTGGGGTGTGAGACCGGAGTGTTTCCACTCCTTGAGGTGATATCGCACTGCTTGATAAGGGGCAAGAAAGCCTGGGGCGTTGGCGTATCCAGCGTTGGCAACATAGAAGCGGTCTGAAAAGGATTGACAAATAAAAAGTCAATATGAATCAACTTGATATCAAAGTAAACGCGCTCTTACCTTCTGGAACTAATAACCGTTGTTCTTCAAGGGCTCGCGTTGGCATGAGATCCTTCTAAACCAGCATAAACAAAAGTGAATAACATATTGAACGAACATCCGGCTAGGACATTCTGGCTGAGATCGCCTTTTTGGTTTTGATGAGGCGGATGACGGCTAGGTGGAACTACACAAGGAATATGGGTGCCATCAATGGCACCCACACACTTCTCGAAATAGGGGTACATTTGAGGGTTGTTCTGAATCTCCTTTGGGCAAACCTCACCACTGGTAGGTTATACTATATAAATTGACTCAAGTGATGCAATTGCGTTGCATACATCATTAAATTACTTGCTGATTGTGTGTCCAGACCGTTGGAATCATTCGCCAGCAAGACGATTCGTGCCGGAGTTACCAACAATGAATAAGAAGATCAAAACTTGTTCTTCCACCGTGACGCTTTGTTTCCGATGGATGACAAGCTTGCCTTCAAGAGCTTTCATCAAGCCCTTGAAGGCGAGCTTGTCCATGCGACATAACTCTCGAAATCTCACATTGCTGCCTTCGAGGATCTCTTTCGTATATTGATTTCCTCGAAGCTTTGATGTTCTACATGGAATCTTCGGGCTTGATATTGATTCTAGGTAAGATTGGCCAGCTTGTATGATTGACTTTAGAAGCTCCATCGGATGTCGAAAGGATGACTGAGATGAATCATCAGAGGCAGCATCGGAAGAATTCGACATGGTGAGGAGGATAGGAAAATGATAGTCATTGGGATCAGAAAAGTGATCCTCATGATCACTTTTCTATCATTCTGTCCTTAATGCTCATATAAGCAAACGCTTTATTCATTTCTTTTTCACAAATTCTCAGAAAACCTGAAATTTCGGTTTTCTGAGACAAAAACGCTTTTCTACATGTAGAAAAGCGCTCACACAGAACTCGATTTCTAGAAATCGGGACTAAGTAAACGCGCTCTAAGGGTGTCGTGAAAATTGGACAGAAGTACAAGTACAGTAATTAGGTCATTGTCAGACTCAAAAACACAAGGTTCAATTACAAATGCTGGCTATGTGCTGTTGTGAGACTGGGATCAGTGTGAAAGTTCAAAACTCTTTGGAAGGAGCTGGGCGGCACCCGCCACTGATGGGGCTAGTCTATGTATGTTGGAGGATCCAGTTTTCTAACCCACTATTAGCTTACCACTTGTCCCCCAATCTAAGGAAGGGGGTGGGGCTTCTAGTCTGTCGGGTCAATAATTGTGTGTTGACAATTCTTTGTGATTAATGCGGACTCCAGTACCTCTAATTCTTGTTCCGCAATTGTTTTCCTTGGTTTTGGTCCTGTATATAAGAATGAAAATGTACATGTCCGCACACCTAGGATCCGTAATCATTGGGTTCGCAACAGGCCCCCACCGCCAACATATTTACCTTGGATTACAAAATCCAAGGTATCCTTGGATGCAAAACCTCGCACAGAAGCTTCCCGAGGTTTTGATCCGAGGTAATTCTCAGGGCAAAAAAATACCTTGGGCAAAAACCTCGGACAAGGTCTGTCCAAGGATTTGCATCCGATTATGCCTCGGATTTCTCAACCCAAGGCATCTATGCTGGCAGTGCCCGGCCCCGCCGCTGCAGAACTTGAATGATCACGTAAACCACTTGGAGGGGACTGTACAAATCTACATGTCTAGAATAAATTTTACGGTGGCCGTGGACAGACAAAATGGACAAAACACAAAATTCACAAAAATAGTCATACAGCCCCGCTCAAAAGCTCTCCTCCGCCCCCCGAGCCGAGGTTACTAAGCCCAGCCCGCTGTGCTACAAGTTGGTGCATTATGGGAAGTATGATTTTTGTGCATTATGACCCATTTGGCAACTTGTGGTATAACAACCTGATGAAGGAGCATCTGGATCACTCGGGTCTAATCCAGTAGTCTAATCTAACTCTAATAAAGCGAGTTCTCATCACTATGAGTCCAAGAGATACACAGTCTTATATTTCCAACTCTTGAGAGGTCCAAAGGCGGACAAGAAATGAACATCTTAGCATAAACCCGCGATGCCTAGCAAGTGGATGTTTTGAGTAACATTAGGAAAGTGACTCATTGTCAGAGAAACATGATCAAAGGGTCACCTTATATGGCACTCTTCATTTGACTGAAAGTGGAGTTGTCATTGAAGGAAAATGGGCTTGAAAAATCATTCTAACATGGAGATATTGCTTGATCTTGATAAATTCCCAAACAGAACAGATATTTTGTATTTATAAATTGAAAGTAATGGACAGGATGATTCTTGAAGCTACAATACCAGAGTTATATTGACATCTGATTAGTTTGGCATGAGCACCTAAAACTACATTTTGGCGTAGTTGGCAAGTTGCGGCAAGGAAATCATCAACAAAAGTGACAGTCACCTAAACACAAACTAGACCCAACTTGAGCAACAAACCAGTAGGCGGGCAGGGAGCAATAGTCAGGGTCGGCAGATGCCGAGCAAGGCTTTTGAGAGGGGCTGTATGACGATTTTTGCATAATTTGGGTTTTGTCCGATTTGTCCGTCCACGGCCACCGTAAAATTCAGATAAAAGGAAAAAAGCTTGGTGAGATTTGCCCGGGTCTTTTAGATAATTTCCAGAGCCACGGGTCTTGTTACACAGACCGATTGCGCGGATTCGAACATACGATGTCCTGGGGCCCGGGGCGGCTTGGCCAGGTCCTCTGGTCCCGTGAATTGTCGGGCATAACTTTGCCGGGTACTCACCAATAATCCCCAATGCTCGTTGAAGACTGGTGGACTTACAAAGAGACGAAAAAAACTGGATGAGAATCAGATGGACACAGGAAATCATAGGCAATGTGTTTTGTAGGAAATGACTTCAGATAATAATGGAGCTGATGAGCAGTTAAGCCGGTTGTGAGCATTTCCTGTGATGGAATTTGAAATCAAACATCACAACTATTGGTTGAAGAAAAAGAATGACAAAAGCGGTTGCAGAATCACAGGCGGGTGATAATATCGTAAAGGGCACTAACGTTTGAGGAAATTCTTCATCAGTCAACATTTCTTACTTGGTACTGCTCCGGCAGAGTCTGTTGGGCGTCAAATTTTTCATACGTTACAAAATGATCTTTTCTAAATTTAGTCGTGATCACATCTCTCTGACTGATACAGCATTTTGCTTAGCAATGTATGGAGTTGGCCGCTTGAGATGTAATACAATAATCTCTTATCTGTTGAGGTGGTCTCTAACTGAATGACGCGTAAGAGAAGAGATACTTGTGAGCGTTGAGGCTCATCTGAATCGATGGAATTTCTGTTGGACAGTCACGTCAAAGTGGTGAGGTTTTGAAATCTGAGTTGCTTACCGTATTGTGCTGAGGATTCAAACCTCAGCAACGATTTGTTTAAAACACCAATCCAGTAGACAAACACAAATCAGGTTGATTAATCCTCATATTCTTACTTCACCTATTGCCTTTCCCCCATCACCACCTTCACTTCGCTTTCTATCATCTTCACCACATTTGATCATACAACAAATCATCACCAAGAGCCTCAAGATGAACGATGAAGACCAAGGCACACGACGAGAAATCTCAAACGCCTTTATCGACCCTGATGTCACTCACCTATCCCAGTATTTGGTAATGGAAAAAGAAGGCATCTTACCCATCCAGAAATGTTCTGAACGCGAAACAACATCAAACCCTGAACCAAATGAAGACACTGAAATGATAGAAGAAAATGAAATCAAACCAAATGAAAGCGAAGAAGAACAAGAAGATGAATTAACAGATGATGAAATTATAACAGGAGTTCAAGAAATGATCATTGGACCACTCTATGAAAACAGAAATCTTATCAATCATCAAATCAATCGACATCAAAAAGTTTCAAACTTGATACATAATTTAAATTATTTAATAGGTTTTAATTTGATTCTGATGTATAAGAAAATCGAAAAATTAATTTCATTAAAGATCACTTTACTCAATCATCATTTCTATGAGATTTTAAACTTTTTCTTGAATTCGATGATAAGTTTTAAAGGTTTAATTGAAATTAATTATCATTTGATGATTTCTCATTTTTCAAAACTGATTAGGTCTTTGGATAGAATCATCTTGATTATTCCAAATCAAGATGATTATCAGAATCAAGATCATTTGTAAGTATTTGAATTTGAATTCTATCAAGACATGAATACTGATTTTGTGGAATTTGTTTCCAAAAATAATTGAACCTCGAAAAAAAAGTAAATCAAGACTTTGGTTAGCCATGGATGATAGTTGTCTTTGCTTAGATAGACTTAAATGGGTAATAGAAGATTTTTGTATTCAATTCAAGACGATTTGGAAAAAACTCAAGATTGAATTAAAAGAAATGATTTCCCATCAATTTATAGAAAACCAATCATCAATCTCAATCATCATAGGACCTAACTTAACTTTCAAAAACAATAAACTTATCAATGATTTAATTAGAATCTTTGATCAATTATCTTTAATTATCAAAGAATATTTATGGGGTTTTAATTTCTTTATTCAGATTTTGTTACGCTTTTCATCTGGATTTCAACTTTGGTCAAAAGATTTAGTTGATAATGAGGATTCAATCGATTTGAAGTTACTTGAAATTTGGTACTATTATCAATTAAATGCTTTAAATTCTTTAAAAGAGATTATTTCTAATTTTCCTAAATTGATGGAGATTTTAAACTCTTCAACTCAATGATACATACTCAACTTGTTACTTTTAACTTTCTCTTAGAAACTTTTGGGTTTGACTCTGCCATTTTTGTTCAAGAGAAGGGGTGAAATTTTCATAAACATTGTTACCTTGTCTTCTGCAAAATCTTCTCTTGTTCGTTGAATTTGTACATCATGAAAAATTAAGCATGAAAAGACAACAAACTTTCTTGCTTCGACTAGATGACCGGATCTCTGAGGTAAGCTAGTCCCTTATGTTTTCAACTTGTTTAGTCAGTGTGTATGAGATAAAGCCTTTAAAGTTTGCGAATTACCCGCCGAACTTGAACTGCTAAATCCACGTCTCATGATTCAGGGCTTTTGAGGGGTGATTGCAAATTTAGTTGAAGGTAATACAAAAGATCACATTATCCTACATTATCTTTAAAAAAACGGGATATATTTAAAACCTGACAAGGATTTATGTATCGAAAAACGAGACTAGCCAACAAATATGAAAGAATAGAAGTAGATGAAGATAAAAGTACATCAAAAAAAGGTTTTTTGTTTGATTTTTTCTCGACACTCCAGATCTAAAAAAAATTGAACAAAACAATTGGAAAGTTTTTTTACATTTTGAACAAGTTTTAAAACCGATTTCGAGTAAACAAAGAAGCAGTGAGCAATACGGCGACCTAAGATACAAAGACAAAAAGGATTTATAAACAAATCAACAACAATCATTCAAACATCTCAAACGTTCAAATTCAAATCAAACACGCCAATTAGTCAAAACGAACACCCAACTAAACCCTTTCCTGATTTCAATAAAAAACGGATAAACCAATTTACACAGAAGATAAAAGGGATCGATCAAAAGAAGGAAGAAAAGTTTTCCTAGGATTTTCGTAATCATAGTAAGATCTAGGAACACTCAAAGGATTCACTTTCCAATCTGATTCAAGTTTAATTTTCTTTTCTTCAATCGAATAATAATCTTCATCACAAAGAATATAAGAAATATGACCTTTATGAACCATGATGAGATCTTTTTCCGATCTTTCATCGATTTCTAAACTACTCCATCTTCTCTTTGAGCCGATTGTTTCGATTTCTTCTCGGTCGGTTCGTAATGAATTACTTTCAGAAGAAGATCTACGAGTTGATGGACGAGTCGAATTGGATTCTTCTTCCCACTGTGAATCAAGAAGAGGTGAAGATCTTGATTGATGACTTTCAAATGACTGAGGTTCAGGTGATTGACTAAACTGATCTTCAAGTTGAGGTTTAATTTTCTTTTGTTGATTAGGATTAAAACTTTCAAGGATCTCAATGATTGCTTGAGATCTATATAACGAATTAGTTGCTAATGATTTAAATTCTTCTTTAAAGATCGCTTCAGTTCTTACTCTAGCATATTCTAATCTAGATAAATAAACTTGAACCGTACGTAAGCTAACTTTGTATCTTAATGAATTCCTTTCGTCTTCTTCTTCTTGATTTGGTTCATTAATCAGACAAAGAACTGATTCTTTTAACCAGATTGATACTCTAACTGATTCGATTGGAAAGACTGGAATACCAATCGATTTACAAAAAGTTTGATATCGGTTTAATGTATGTAGATGTGGATCAGGTTTGGGTTTTGAAAACTTTTTTGAATTCTTATATCCATTTTGTGAAACTTGAGATTGTCTCCTTGCTTCACGTATTGAGTTTAATGCGATTTCCAACTTGTGATCTGGCAGCATGGAAAATTACACAAAACAAACAGAAATTTAATCATCGCGTTTTGGTGAGAATGAGGGATATTGAAACAAAAGACTTACCACCAGATTGATCATTCAAAACTCGAAGTATAGAAACACGATCAAAGTTACCCAATTTATTAGAACCATGATTGAACTGATCAAACGCTTCATGATCACTATTAGAATTTTGAACAAGATTGGAATGAAACGGATTAATAGTAGAACGAGTGATAGGTAATTGTTCTAGAATCTCTAAAAGGACTTCACTATTCATCAACATCTTTTCATCACCCTCGCAATCATGATCGAATAAATGATAAGTTTTAAGTCTGACGGTTTCCAACGAAGTCACATAACATCTTACACTTTTACGTAAAGGGACTACTCGTGTCTTTGTTGAAACCACATCACCTTGAATCCAAATCACAACTTTAAGATGATGTATAGGCCAAGGTGAAAGATGGATAGAGTGACAATAATCTGTATACCTATCTAATAAGTAGATCAATCTATCAAACGGTTGATTATTTGATTCTTGATCTATTGTTTCTGATTCTGACCAATCTTGATTTGATTTTGATGGAGTTTGAGTCTCATCAGATTCTTTGAAATTCTTTTGTAAGATCTTTCTCCTAAAATCATGAATAATTTTACGTGCTTGGTTTGATTTTGAACCTGTCAGAATAATTAGCCCAAAAAAATCACGATTAGTGATTTATAAAAATGTTGAATGGATAAATTGATCAAAGAAAGTTACTCACAATCTTCGGGAAATTTTTGAAAGTGATTAATCACATTGGTTTGGAATTGAGATAATTTACTTAAAGAATTAATCGAATTCAAATCAAATGAAGGAATTGATTTAAACTGATCTAAATCAATCTTCATCACATCGGGTTGAAATTTACTAGGAGGAATACTAGAATTTATATCCTCATTGACGTTTGATCTTTTCTTTGAAATCATAAGTGAATCAAGAGAATCTAATCCATCATCTTCATCATCACCATCAATCTCTCTATGATCTTTAATTTGAAACTTTTCTGAGAATGGAAATTGACTGGTATCATAAACATTTGACCTTAGACTTGGAGCAAATTGATGTGTAGTGATATTGATCATATTGATCATAGGGATTTATATCTTGTGATGAGGGTGATTTAAAAGGATAGTATGTAGGATAGACAGAGTGATCGTGATGAAGTGTTGAAAGGGCGGTGATTGTTTATAAGGTGACGATCAAGTGATACTGTATGATCTTCAATTGAGTTTGTTCAAATAACAGTCGGGCCTTCAAACTATGATGCGGATTGAATTTTTGTGATAAATAAATTGTAGATCAGAAATTAAAACTAAAAGATAAAGATGATGAAGATCGATTTGAGATCATGTGATTTTGTAAAAAGAGATGATCAGTTCAAGAACCCAAGCCAACATCAAGGAGGAAAGAAAAGGTTTAATAGTCAGTTTTTCAAAAAAAGGCAAAGCTAGTCATTAAGAAATTTCGAAATATGTAAAAATTGTTTACATACCCTTTAAAAGTTCAAAGAAATGAGCTTACAAACAAACCAAAAAGACAAGAGTTTAAATCGGCGATGATCACCTAAAAACCGAAAAAAAGTGTGATGGTATTTAAGAATGTCAATGTCGTGTTACCAGCAGCAGCAATCTCAGTGCTCAGTGTTTAGGGAAGGAAAGTAGAATGAAGATCAATCATACGGGATAAGATTAAGAAAAACTCAGGAGTCAAGCTCACAAAGGTTAAAGTTACCAAAAGAGTTGCAACAGTGTATATGAAAAGAAAAAGAAATGGATTGGTGATTGAGTTACACACACAAAAAGGAAATCGTTAGATCAAGAAACTAATGCGTAGAATAAAGCAACAACGTCGATCCACAAAAAAAAACAATGCAAATCGTCACGGTCAAGCAAGCTGATACACACAAAAAAGATCAATTGTCAAGCGAAGAGATGAGCCAAAGATTGAACTCAGGAAATATGTAGAAAAAAAATGTGATAAAAAGCTTCGTCTTAGATAAATTGAATGTTAAAATTATCACGATGGATGATCAAATCTCAGGATAAAACAAAAGTTATGATCACTATGTAAAATTCTAAGAAGAAAAAAAAACCAAGAAAAAAGAGAGGACTTTGATCGGGAAAAGAAGTAAAGTCTAATAAATCTTTAACGATCAATAAACTAACGCGCAGCGCTAGGAGTGAGTTTGAAGAATAGTTGATATATGGTTGATATATATGATATACGTATGTCGGTCTGCAAGGTGATGAGAAATTCGAATGAGAAAAGAAGGAAGAATTTTGAAAAGGAAGAGATGATAGAATTTATATATCTATATGCATGTATATTGTATATCGCTAAGATTGAACTTAAAGATCAAGGAGAAAGACTGCGTACTTTAACGTTGAATGAAGATTGAATGATCCTTTACCAACGTGTAAATGATTGATGAATGAATTTGAGAGACTAGAGAAGGATTTAAAGAAAACTAGGGATTGTAAATTAAATTGACGTGATGATTTTTTGGTCCATCGGAACGATCGAAAAAGTTATAGGCATACATTGAGCACTAAAGTGGTTTAGTCGTGTTACTTAAGAGTGTACATGAGAGAGATGATGGAAGGATGAGTTGATGGATGTAGTTCGATTTTGATAACTGATCGATTGTGCAAGACTAATTTGCTAAAACTGATCCGTCTCAGTTCAACAATTGACAAAAGAAAGAAGAACTATTGAATTCAGCAGAGGAGATGTACTGTCAAAGTGATCAAGAACAAACAAACGATCATTTTAGGTTCCAATCAATCACAAGATCAACTCACTCCAAGATGAAAACTAAGAAACTTTACGATCACAAATCTGTAGCAAAAATCCCTAAAACAGTTTCAGTTTTGTATTGATTCATGAAGTGCAATGAATGGTGGATATCACCGTGTCTGCGTGCTCACTGTGTAGTTGCTCGTCGAGAAGCGCACATCGACTCCGTTTCAGGGAGAAATTTGGAAAGCTTGTTCGCTCCTCGACTCACCGACCGCTACACAGACTGTATGCAGCATCACCGGGCAGCATGCAACAGGTAGCTCGAAGGGAATACAACAGGCTCGAGGGTGACTCACTATGTGTAGCTCACTTTGAAGTATTCAACCAAAATCAAAATCTTGTAAACTTCATATCCAGTGCTCAACTTTTGTTTGCGAACAATTCCTTCGTATACAAATCAAAGAATCTCGTTATGTTCAATTTCAAAAAAGATCTACGTGAATCAGTACTTTCAAAACAATTTCTAATCAAATCTTCTTGAAACATAACGATCTCGTCAATTTTTCCTCTGGAAATATCGTAACACAATCTCAAAAGCACATAACCAGAATAAACCTTCGTCCGTATTGTCATCAAGACTTTCTCTTTGAAAAATCATTTCTAATAAATCGTAAATAACCTATCACCCATCAATCTTTTAATTTATTTTGACGATTATCATAAACGTATCTTTTCATTCGATCGATAAGAGTCGAATGGATTTCATTCAACTTAACAATCACCCAAGAAGAAAAACATAACAATTCATCAGTGATTAAAAAATAACATGATTGGATTATGATTGGATTTGACACAAAGGTATCACTTACAAGTTGGAAATGTCTAGTTAAACCACCTCTATCTGGATGAGTTTCTAACGCTAACTTTTTGAAAGCTGATCTAATGTCACGTTGACATGCAGTTCTTTTAACTCCTAACACCTAAATCAAACCAATCAAATCAAAACCAAATACATTTTAGAACTGAACATAGAAATGAGGTTTTAGGGGAGAAGACAGAAAAAAATGAGATCTAACTTTATAATATCCTAATTGCGATCTAGCAAGTCTTAAAGCTTCTTGATAACCTTTTTCTTTCAAAGCTGCTTCCAAAGCTTTTTCTTTCGAAATTTCAGCTTGACGGATCAATGATTGATTAACGGTCATATTAAATCTGATTTGTTGTTGTTGATGATGATATTGATTAAGAAAAGCACATCTCCTCTTAACTTGATTCAATTCTTCATTAATCAAATTCAAATTCAAATTCACTACTAAATTATAACCATTAAGGAATCTGAAATAATGGATCAGACGTGAATAAGTGTCTATGGATTGAAATAGATTATAATCTCTGTATGCCCAGATCCTTGATTTGTAAAGAAATGCAATCAAAAGGAATTTCTTTAATCTGATCGGTATCATTGGAGCTCTTGCATTCATGTTGTCAACTAAGGCTTTTGAACTTAAGATCTCGGTGGTATATTTGATCACTTCATGAATATATTTTTCAAGTTCTTGAACGTTGGTCATCTTATTAAGTTTCTATGTCAAACCAATCACAACAAAAATCAGTACAAAGAATTCAACTTTCAAAAGCCTGGACGTCTATCACTCAACTTTGAAACAAGTCTCGATATAGATCACTCTAATGTGATCCTCAAACGTTTGTTCAATAGGGTGTTGACCCACACGAAGTAAAAGATATCGTATCAATGCGGTCATCTTAGGAAGACTTTCAAGATGTTGATCTATTGAAAGCTTCTTAACTTCATCCTGTTGAGATAACAAGTATTTCACTCGATTCTTTGTACCACTATTTTGTCAAAAAGAATGAAAATGATCAATAAAAAGAATGGGAATGTTCTGATTGGAATCTTCTTCGTCAAAAGTAGAGATATAAAGGCTACTCACGTTGAGTTTGAATCTTTTTTGATTTCGTCTAATCTTTCAAAATGTTCTAAACTTTCTTCTAGATTCCCATAGGAGAAACTGATCAATCCACGTAACCATAAGTCTTGAGGGGTGTCGAAATCAACAGGATCCTTGCATTGACTAAAGCAAAGAAGATCAGATCATTTAGCAAAAGAAGGTTTGATCTAAAAATGAAAAGTAAAGAAATACTAACGTTGCGACCCATTCAGCTTCTTCTGGGTATCCTAACCAAGCTAAACTTTCAGCTTTGATTCTCTCTAATTCTAATGGTAAGATTTCTTCAATCGAATCATTTAGATTCCAAATCGTGATTTTATTTTCTAAAATTTTAAAATAGTGATTTACTAAATCCCATCTCATTTGACTTTTACATTCATAAATTTTCTTTTCTATAAAGATTAACCAATGTAAGATTTTGGTTAAATTTTGAAAATCTACAATCGATTTTTGGTTCCGATGAATTAGATTTAAAAGGAAAAAATCGTTTCGAACTCTTGACCAAAGTTGATGAGCCGATTCCAATTCAAATAAATTGATGTACGATTTAAATAATTGTATGATTTGAGTGACTATTAGTTTTTGATAACGTAAAGCAGTCTTAATCAAGATCACATTCATTGCAATAGATTTTTCTAAATCGTCAATCACACCACGATGGTCATTCATGATAAGTTTACATGACGCATTGTTCGATAAAGCGATTGCTGCAATTTGCATTACATCTTTTGGAATGGGTTCTTTGAGTTTTGAAAACGACTCAATGAGTTTTCTATAAGATTTCATGGCTTCCTAGATGTAAAACAAAACCCACATAAGGATGTGAGTTTGAACAGCGAGTCAGTAAAGTAAACTATCGATTCAATTGAAGATCAGAAGCTAGAGATACTTCTTTACTTACCGAATAATTCAAATCTTGATAAAATGATCGTCCTTGGATCAAGTCATCGTTATTCATAGGTATATGATCAGAAAACAACTCATGTGGATAAATTCTGATCAATTCATCCAACTTTGGATCATTTCCTATCAAGATTATATTGGTAAGATTTATATTTTCATGTTCTACATTCATCATTGGGTCCTTGATGTCTTGAGGATTCATTATAAAAAGGCGTTACTTCATATGGATATTTTGGAATAAGAACTTTTGGAAATGGAAAGAAAATGAGTAAAGAACGATTGAAACCGATCTAAGAGGTCACTTTTTATATTGCGTAGAGCTGCTTAGAGATTGGTCATCAACATCACCCAATTTCATCCGGACTTCCAATCTGATTGCTTAGAAAACTCATCCAAGCCTTTGCTCTGAGTTGGTGTAATTCTACGCTGTTTTTTTCACAGAACGAAGTTGTATTCGACACCCTTGGCACTGCCACCAAATCTTGCGGGAAACTTTATGACGGAAAACTTTGGATGGTGTATCATTCTATGAATAAGGATGAAGTGAAGGGATTCATCGAGGATAAGGACATCTAAGCAAATTATCACCGGTGGACTTTAAATCAGTGACTTAGGAAAATGAACATTCATTCTCTGTGGCCTTCCAAGACTACGTATCCCGAAACTAAGGATCTCCTGCGCTGAAGGAAAAGTATTGTATAATACAGATCACATATGTGATCATCAAAGGCAAACTGCGCCTCGACTTTCTGAAGCTTTGTAACTCGTTTTCAACTTCATAGCCAATCTAAGAAGATCCTTTGTAAATTTTTATATCTCAGCCTTGATTTACCAACCAGATAATTAAGAAGAAAAGATCCGAACAAGAAATTGGAAAATTGCTAGAGCTGGTTTCATGAACCTTCTCGCAACTTCCTCGACAATTTTGGTCGAATTTTTGATAACAAGATTGATTGTAGATCCAACGATGGCCTGCCGCCTTGATGCAATCAATTTGTATGCATTGATATAATTTTTTATGCTGTCAGAAAGGTCCGTGATCAAGAGTAGAAAAAAACAAATAAAGTTTAAATTGTTGATCGGATTTGGTTATTGAGAGAAGCACGTAGATCGCCGAAAGCTGATATCGATATGTATGCATTCATCTAAAAATATGATGACTTGACTGTGAAGAAGTTGTCATATATACAAGCCACCTTAGTGGTAACTTCATAGCTTACGACATCCATCTCGGATCGATTATCATCAATTTTCACTTTCATCAATAGCACCCAGTTAATCGGATACAGCTGACATAGTCAATTCGACGGAGATCGATGATGCGAATGTCAATCAAAAACTTTGATCGTCACAGCAAACCGAGCAGTTTTTATCCTGGTTTGACTGTTTTGATACGTAGTCATTGACCATGAGTATCACAGAACACGAATGTTCATGTTATGATAGACCCGCCAAGATATCTTAACCCGTAAAATAAACTCGATCAATCCACCACGCTGAACATTGAGAACCTGATCAAGCTTGGGATGATGACTCAGAGTGACTAATGTGAGTTTCAGGCGATTGTTGATGTAGATCCGGATGTATTTGCAGGACAATGAAAAAGCAAAATCATTGAGAGAGAGGATGAGCTTGAGCGAAGGTTCATAAGAGATTGAAGCGGCGCGAGGACGTTTTAGGCGCCAACGGTTTCTTGAGAGGAAACCCCATCGGAGTGAAGCCAAAGAAATCTTTTGGTGACTAGGCTAAGCAGGGCTGAGCTCAAGATTGGAAGGTGATCCGTCAATCCATCCTCCTCGAATCAAAATCCAAGACATCGACTTGTTGACTGCTCAGCCTGTGCTGTTGACTCACCTTGTGACATGTATGGATCTCATCAGTGTCACTGAGAGATATCAACTCTATAAACTTGTGTCATGCCTTGTGTTTTCTGTGATATGTGTATTTGCGCCCTTCCGCTCATCTCCACTCGTCTGGCTAATCCTGGCACATCCTCTTAGTTCTCTTGCGGTTTTGTTTCGGAAGAAAAGAATTGAAGTACAATTTGTATCAACAAATTGTGTAGAACTCGTCATTTAATTTTGGGTTCCCATTATTCATGTGGTTTTCGGATTTGATGGAGCCATGCTAGATCAAAAGATTCAACTTCATTTACTATCTCTTATTGGACTAAACAATCTCTTTTGCACACTTCAGGTTTTCTTTTGAGCACCTGGATCGAGGCGTAGATTCTGTGAATCTTTATGGTTTTTTGAGGATTGGGAATACTAAATTTGTTTTTATTTTACAATACTCTCAGAAATAAAAACTTCCTATTTGGCAAGCGCGGAAGCAGCAATCCTTGGACAGATCTTGTAGGATCTTGTCAGAGGTATTGACTGGTATTGATCCGAGATATTGTTTAAAGTTTTGCGCTAAAAAAAAAACTCGGATTGGAAAATTCAAGGTAAATTTGTTGACTGTGCGGGTACTCCACGTAATGACCACGCCTCTCATCTTGCCAATGTGAGTAAGGTGTTTGAGATCCACTGAGAAGGTAAGAATTGTATACCCCGAGCGTATATTTTTGGTCAAGTTGAAAGGTTTCCTCAATCAATCTTCACTTTCCTTAAGGCCCAAGCCATAAGTTGAAAAAGAGTGAATGAACTCACTAAACATGAAACCTTAAGAGCATCAAGTGTCTAACGTATATTTATTTGAGGTTAGATGACGACCCCAAGTCAAATAACTCAAGTTATCCTTTCAAAATTGTAACCAGGTACAGCCTCATGACTCACAAACAATCAACTATTACATCAAACCAATTCATTTCCCTAGTAAAGTATCACATTGTACATATAATTGATAATATAAAAACTGATAGTAAAAAAAACACATATAATTTTCCAAAGAAGATAAAAGTGAGATCAAGTGGTACGTTTAACTTTACGTTTACCAGACGAGTTAGTTTTCTTTCCACCAATCGTCTCATCCATCAAAGACTCTTGACTCTGTGTATCATTAGAAGAATGTGATAAATTAAAACTTGAATTCGAGTTGATCAAATTCAATTCAGCTTGAGAAAGGTTATTAAGATCATCTTGAGGATTTGATGAATGATTTACTTCAGTTATCGTGATAGAAGGTTGAGTAGGATTATCATCAGGTTTAGAAAACATAGCTAATGCGTTTTGAAAGGCTCTTTCTAATGGAATATTCCGAACTTCGACTTTATCATCCAATGGATTTCTGACTCCTGTAGGTGTAATCTTTGTGTTTGATGTTTCTAATTTATCGATATCCATTGGTAAATGATTGGATGGTCGTCTACGTTGAACTGGAGAGATCGGTTGAGCTTCATAAGCTGAAAGTTCAGGCTGATTTGGATCTTGGTCTTGATGTTCGTTTGTATTTGATCCTCCTTCAAAACCCTGATGTCTCGTTTTGATCTTCCATGCATAACCTTGTTGTGGATCATAGATTGGTTTACGAGATCGTGCAAGATCTAAAAGATCTGATAGAGATGAAAGTGAAGTGAGTAGTCGACATGATAAAGCGGCGTGAAATGAAGGAGATTGATAAATGCATGTCTTAAGGATATAATAAGAAGTAATCGGATAAGCTAATGGACAAAAAAAGATTGTCAAAACGTTAATATCACCTTCTTCAGTTTCTAAACCGATCAGTCTAAATAAAAGCTCACCAACATTCTTCGGGGTTTTTTCTATCTCTCTTTTCAATTACGAATAAACCACCTTCACGGTCATCTTCAGGTTTAGAAACCACTAGAGTATATTCAATTCCAACTAATTTCTTCAAAGCTTCTTTTTCTGCCTTTGAATCAAGTGGTGGTTGACCTGAAAACATAGACTGCATTCGTAATACTTGATTTGTTGATCTTCTATCATAAAATGGTGAATGTGAAAAGTATTCCATGGCATTCGTTTCATTTAACGGTCCGTTTTCTAGTACCCATGCTAATGATCTCCATTGTACATGACAGAGATCTGCCGATGGTATTTTGAGTCCAGCGATAGTTGAGGTCATGTTGAATGGATGAAGTGAGTGAGTTGATGGTCTGGTTGTCTTTGAATGTTGCTGAAAGTGAAGCTCTCATCCAGTCAAGACTAATTTTAGCCGACTGAACTGGAATCTTGAGTTAAATATTAGGTCTACTTAAGCCTGAGCTAAGTCTTATGTTGATTTGTTCGGTTTTTGACTTCAGCCTCTTAAGCCATGTTCGCTTGCCTTAAGGCCATACAAATTTCCAGGAATCAGTGTTGCCGTCGGATCAGATTGTGAAATTCTTCAAGTTAGCTCCTCACAAATGCCATCTTTACAACCCGGGCCTTTGGCGAGGGACTTGGTAGAGTTTGCTTTACAACTCTCCTTTTCAAAAGATTCAATTCATTTCCAGAAATCCATTTCCAGATTTTACAAAGTCTTGACAAAACTTGCTTGCACAAACCCTCTTCAATTTATATATCCTCCTAAAGCAATATCCCCACAAATCATTTCTTTCTTCTTCAAAAACATCAACTCTTCTCATTTAAAAGAGAATCAGTTTCTAACGTATCCTTTACGGCAAATTTTATAGACATTTTACTCTTGAATTCCTTGAATTGCTAAATCGATGCCCAGCCTCCCAACATTGACATTGAAAACTTGGGGTTGATATTGAGAGTCTTTTGTTTTGTAAAAATGTATGCGAAGGGCACTGGGATTGTTTTTGAAAAAAAGAATCAATCGGCCTTGAGAAAAAGTAAATATACAAGAAATCACTTGAAAGCCATCTAGACCAAGAAGATATTTTGAAAGCGATAATTGAAGGTACTTTGTATCCCTAGCAGTCGACAAGAATTGTACACACTACGTCATTATCCAGTCAATGATAGAAGAAGGTTCATAGATTACAAGCTTACCTGCAACACCCATCGCCATTGCCATTACTTAGATAACTGCATTTAGCTTATGGGCCATTTGTCACAATCCATGTGATCAGTCCTGAAAAGTGATTCGTGAGCTTGATCTGCTGGTCCACCGTTATGGACTTTAGTCTTGTATCCAATACAACCACTTTTTGGATCATTACCTATATATCAAATGAGAGACAAGAAAAGTTTTTAAAGATTGATAAGAAAAAAAAATCACAAATCAGATTTTCTCTTACCTAAATGATTTTTCTAAAACAAAGGGATTCAAACTTACATTGAAATCGACAATAAGTTTTTTGACCACCTGTATTTGGATCGTTATCATGTGTATACCAATTTTTAAAAACACAACCACTTTGTTTAACTTTATTACACAACTCATTGGCACCTTTAGCAGGATCTGGTTTGTTATAAGTTGTCCCATCGTACATACAAACTGTACATCTATCAGTGTTAGCTGCCAAACTGAAGGTGGCTAGAGAAACTAATAGGATAGTTAGACTGATGAATAGGTATGATGAAATTCGAGACATGTTGAGGAAAGAAGTTGTTTGAGGAAATTTGATTGAAGATCGATGGGATGGAAATGGGCAAATGAATTCAGAGGTTTGAGAAATTAGGGACTGGGCGAGGTTTCGACCGACAGAGGATTTAGCCACCTCAATAAGCGCATGAATCCCCTGGAAGTCGACCGAAGCGATTTATGCAAACAGGAGGTGTCAGGATTACTCCTACAAGCCCAAGAGACCCGACTGTCAGATGATTTCACCAAAACCAGAGCGAGAGCAACCTGTGAAAGGTATATCAGGCTATCCAGAAGCGTTCTGCCATAGGCTTTTGGCTGAGGTGGGGGGGGAAATTTTGAATAGACAGCTCGTCTTAGGGAGGGTCATGCCTGTGCGCCACCCTATTTTTTTTAGTGCCATAAAGCTTACTAAAAAAAATAAGGAAATTTCATATTGATTGAACAGTGGCTTAGCTGTTTGCAACTCGCTTTCAACTACGGTTGAATTGCAATTTTGCAGAGCTTCGCCCAGTCCCTATTGATTATGTACGGTAGAAGATTTTGGAAAACTTCCATGTTGTTCAAGGGTTTTTCCTTTAACTTGACAAACTCCTTCTTGCGCGACGGCGACGGTGACTTTTATTTAGTTAAGGTTCATCCGTTCACTAGGAATTGTGGCGCCATGTCGCCATGTCGCCATGACAAATTGATAAAATCTGATAAAAAAATACACACAAACTTGGATACAGCATAGGAAAAGGATAGAGAGTCAGACAAAGTTGCTGTTGGGGGTTTTTAATTCTTGCAGGGATCGCAATGGCATTAGCCCAATACTTTCTTTTCAAGATGCATAACCCAGTTATTTTATTTTACCTGAAGCCTAAGGCTGACTGTTGACAATTATATAAATTTCAAAAAAATGGGGTACGTATTTGAAATACAAAAACGAGTAGTAGATAGGTTGGATGAGAGAATCAAAATAAAGCTGATCTCAAAGGATAACTTGAAAGATCATCAATGAGCAAAAATAAATTGCTGAAAAGTTAAGACTGAAAAACAATACACGGATGGCATTGGCTGGCACTCAATTTGGCACTTTTTTAGTATGTTTTTTTGCAAGCTCAAGCTGGCATGACATTAAATCACACATGATAGAGATTTATGCCTTTTTTCTATATGGCGGCTGGGTAGCAATTCACAATTGCCTGCTGAAGTGTATACAGACGTTGTGATGTCTTCACCCGGATGCGATGATTGAACATTTCTAGTGCTCTGCGTATCCTTGAACCACAATTAGCTTTGAACAAAATCTTACGCAACCTAGAGTCCATTGAAGCATAAAAACATGCCGCATACATGGAAAGACAATGATCAAATTTGATTGAGTTGGAATCCCTTCACAGCTTTCCAATGTTCATACTTTTTGTCAATAAAACCGTACCTTATATAAGGAATTGATGAAAAATGTTGCTTCGAGAATTCGTTATTATCTTATAAATCATGAATCTAAATCAATCAGAAACACATAGAGAATAAAAGAATAAATAAATAAAAAAGAAAGTGATATGATTGGCAATGGCAGTAAGATGAGCAAAGTGGTTTCCAAAGAAAGAAAGAAGTTACATCAAAAAGTAATATGCATGAGAAGATACCAAAAAGAAAACATTGATTTGTGGAAATAAAAATCTGAGTTATATAAAAGCAAAACCAAAAAAAAAGATATATAAATATTTACGATTCTTATACAAATCCTCCTTTACCACCTGTGATTAACTTATAATCGATTCTCAGAAACCTAAAATGAGCAAAAAAAGAATGTATGAGTTAGATGTATGTCAAGAGGTTTAGAAAGTCGCGTAGTTTCTTACCTTTTCTTCTGGATGCGTAAGTTTGCAATACAAGCAGCAGTCAAAAACAAACCAAGCTCAAGTATAGTGAAACCATAAAGCTAATCAAGAATCATAAGGTCCGAGATCAATAATCCAATCAAAGCAAAATCGATGAATCATAAGGTTAATCAAGGTTTGAAAGGAACTTACAGTGGTGAATGTGTTATTGAAAAGATCATCTGCTTTGTTTGTAAAAGGTCCCACACAACCAATTGAAACATTAGGATCAGGATCCTTAGGAATTGTTTCCGGATCCGAACAAAACCCAGTCCTTAGTTCTGGTTCAAACAATCCCGCAGCAGTAGCATTAAACCATCCACAACATTGTAACGAGTCTTGTAAATACAATTTGATATTCAAAGGCTGTTCAATCCAAACGGGTGTGAAGAGTGAACGGATTCGAAGGGTTGTGAACCAGATGGTTGTAGCGGCTCCCATTGTTAAAAGAAAGACGAATAGGATGAATAACATGTGGATCGCTACTGGTCTTGTGGCTGCATTGTCTCGAGTTGGTCTTGTTAATAATGGCCAGAGTGAGATGATGAACGCGATAAAAGTAGCTATTGAAAAGATGTGACCGGCTAAAGATTCGAATGAAAGCACAAAGAAAGAAATCAGTTTTAAGCATGAATCATGCTCCAGAAGATGAAAAACTTACCATGGACAAAGTTAGTGGATAGAGTTAAACGAGTGATCAGATGTCGATTTGGTAAAGGTGCTGAATGCAGAAGATGTTTCCAACGTAAGACGATTAAGAGAGTAAAGATTGCAGCAGCCAATAGAGCGATATCGAAGAAGATGAAGATATAAGTATATCTAGTTAATGCGGCAAGTTTCATCTTGAATGTGTGGTGTGTCAGTGTGGAGGATGAGAAAGCGAAATAAGGCTTTCATGAAATTGGATTGCCTAAACCAGCTAGACCTGCACCCCGCTCAGCCTCGACGGATGATACCCCGTGTGGTACCGAGATGGCTGCACGGAGCTGAGGGAGCCCCGAGACAGTGCAGGACTCTCGGGCCCAGGCCTCTTCCACGGACCACCACACATGCTACGTCGTGTTTGAACAAACTCTTGTGAAGCATACTGCCATTCCATTCCAATTTGAACAACTCCCTCTCAGGCAAGCAATTAGTTGAGAGAGCGAATTATAATTCATGGCTTATATTTACACAAGGTTTGGTGTATGAGCAGACAATATTGGCTGGGGATTCGTGGGCAAGTGCTGAGCAAGCGTAGGGATGGGGCATTCATTCCAACCCCAGGCTCAGTCTTTCAAGCTCTCCCTGGAGTCAAGACAATTTGAGAAGGCTTGCCATGTCAAGAAGATGCGCCTTGACCTCCTAAGTACCCGGCCCAACCCAGTATGAATAGCCCTTTGGGGTAAAATTTGGAAATTGTACTTTTGTGCAGCATCCAGACATATGTGCATCCTTTGAGTATGTCACATTCATGAAAATCTACCACACGATGTCACACTCACAGGTTGTTGGTATCTGGAAACCAGGTATTGCCCATATCATCTGTAGCACTTGGCCAAAGTCCTTGGGAACTTCTTCAGTGTATCATATCTCTTCATCCTGATGATATAAATCTATTGTACCAAAGGCCTTGTGTGCGCACTCAACCAAGACATGTTGGATCTTTGAAGTTTTGTTATTAGGTTCAAGAAATCAATAGAGAACAGAATTTAAAAACAGAGTTTTGTGCACCATCCCATCACACCTGGTGTAAGGTTTTGCCAAGTTGGACAGCTCTTCAGAAATTGTGGTGTTTTTTTCTCTCTTGCCAACTGAAGCCTCTTGTTACTCTGTAATAATTGTATCAAATAAGAAGTGAGCTACATGAATGCGTGTAGAATAATCAGGTGCACATGACCTTTCTTTGGTCCAAAGTACTTTTGTCTATAGGGTAAGAAGTTATGAAGCATTGAAAATGTCCCTAGCCAAACTTTTCCGGATCACATGCCAATATTCATGTATAAGCTGTAAGTTACTATCTCTCAACTAATTGCTTGTCCAAGAGGAACTTACAGGTCAAGTTGGCATTCCATTAAATGTTGGACATTGAGAAGAGATGAAAGAGGTTTAGATTGAAGTCTTGATTGGCTTTAACAAAGCAACAGCTGTATTTTTTGGTTCTTGAGGGCAAATTAATATTTTTCAAGGCTTAAACACTTTTTTTGGCTTTTCTCAATGTCCGACGTACATATGATAGAATGGTTGTTGTAACCTAATTCCTGAAACCCTCAATTACAAATGAAGTATTTATGGAATGACAATGATCAAACTCAGTGAAGTTGAGATTCCTTCCAAACGCTTGAATGTTCATACTTTTCAGTTGTTTGATATATCCTCAACAAATCTGTGCCTTATAAATTTGATTTCTATATGCTTTTTTCAAAATATTGTTCTTATCTTATCTAATGAAACTGAATCAATCAGAAACAAAAACAAGGATTAAATAAAAGGAGGGAAATAATGTTATTAAAAGTACAAAAAAATCTCAAAGTTATTTTTTGAAAATTACACCAAAAACAGTCATACGCATGAGAAGATACCAAAAAATGTTGTGTCAATGTGACGAGAATTATTTAAAAAGAAAATCACAAAAGTATATGTTTATTAACGTATGATTTTTATACAAATCCTCCTTTACCACCTGTGGTCAACTTATAATCGATTCTCAAAAACCTGAAAAAGAGAGAAAAGTAGTTCAGATAATTTCATTCTTAAGAGGTTTCAAAAAGTAACAAAGGATTCTTACCTCTTCTTTTGTATGCGTAGGTTGGTGATAGAAGCAGCTGTCAAGAACAAACCAAGCTCAATGATAGTAAAACCATACAGCTGTTCAAAAATTGAAAGGTCCAACATCAATAACTCAATCAAAGCAAGATGAATGGATCATAAGAGTCATCAGAGTGCAAAAAGTCTTACAGTGGTAAATGCGTTATTAAAAAGATCATCAGCTTGTTTTGTAAAAGGTCCTACACAACCAATTGAAACATTAGGATCAGGATCTCTAACGATCGATTCCGGATTCGAGCAATACCCCGTCCTTAATTCTTGATCAAACATTCCTGAAGCAGTAGCATTAAACCATCCACAACATTGTAACGAGTTTTGTAAAAACAATTTGATCTCCAAAGGTTGTTCAATCCAAACAGGTGTAAAGAGAGCACGAATCCGAAGGGTTGTGAACCAGATCGTTGTGGCGGCTCCCATGGTCAAAAGAAAGACGACTAAGATAAATAACATGTGGATTGCTACTGGTCTTGTTGCTGCATTGTCTCTTGTTGGTTTGGTGAACACTGGCCAAAGTGAAATGACAAAACTAACAAAAGTAGCTATTGAGAAGATCAGACCAGCTGAAGATTCGAATACAAAAGAAAAAGAAAATCATTAGTTTCAAGAAACTATTCATGAATTAAAGATGGAAAGGTTTTTTTGGACTGACCATTGACAAAGTTGGTGGATAGAGCTAAACGAGTGATAATGCTTTCGTTTGGTAAAGGGTCAGAAGCTAAAAGAGATTTCCAACCTAAGACGACTAAAAGAGTAAAGATTGCAGCAGCCAATAGAGCGATATCGAAAAAGATAAAAATATAAGTATATCTAGTTAGTGCATCGAGTTTCATCCTGACTGCCGAAGACACCCTTGAGGTTTATAATCTAATTTAATTTATTGTGAATAATAATAATAATAATAATAATAATAATAAACTGATCCAAGTTGAGGTAGTACAAAAGGAAACAAATGTTTACAAATTCGCCAAACTTTCAAATTTCTAAAATGCGACCTGCGCTATCAATATAAAGAAAGTTAAATAAAATAATTAGGATAAGAAAGTTCAATCGGAAAGGAGAGAACTAATTTGTTTTTGCTTCATTTCAATGCGAATGGCATTGGTCGTCAAAATTAATCATCATCATCTATCATCATCATCATTGTCCTTTGTTGTTGCTATATCAGTCCAAAGAAAATATGTACTGGTTTTAATTTTACTTTTGACTTGTTTCTAAGGCAGGACAACAAAAATCAAAAAACTAAACCAGTCACCAACCCCGAAGATCCAACTGAGCAACACGGCATAATTAATCGAAGAGATGCGAGTGCAGATCTCTGACTTGTGATCAGCCGAAGAGACCATTTTTGGGATCCTTCCATTTCAGCACTTTTGGAAACAGAGATCTTCATATGACTCAACTGCCTCTCAAGTGGCTTCCCTACCGAACGATACTTCAGTTGTAAGCAAGTTTTATTACAACATTCGGACTCGAGGGACTGGTCTTTCGGGATTCGTGAATCAATATCTGTTTCTTGATCTTGTTCACTCATCCTTTCAACATGCATCATGAACTTCACTCAATGAAATATGTCTTCAGAGTTTTATGACTTCTGATCTGCAAATGAAGTCTTCAAAATCAGGATGTGAATGATTTTGGTGGTGATTTACAGGTCTTGCGGCCCGGTGTCATCACAAACTTGAATCCTTTGCGGGGCGCTCCTAACGTCGCGAGCTCGCTACGCAGCGCTGGAAGAGACTTGCACGCCCTGTCTTGGCAAGACACTCCACAATCTGTGTAGGTTTGAAGCGACACAATCTGAGGAGGTCAAAAGGTCTGTCTCAAGAGCAATCAAACTTGTGTGGTTACGGGTCATACTATGCGATCTTGTACCCGACATCGAGCGACATCGTGGTTCCAAATCAAAGATGCTCTCAAAAAAATGACACACATCCTTTTTTGTACTTGTTTTATTTGATTAGGGATCAATACTAAGAATGGAAGATCTGACCAGTTCTTGAGAATCTTAAGCATATTATCATCCTACTAGCTACCAAAACCGGATCATCAGACAAAGAGATCCCTACAGAATCCTTTTGTATACACCATAATTATTCCTGTCTTTTGCATATGCAACCCCTGCAGAATCATTGTTCTGCACATCATAATCAATCCCATTTTTTTATATGCAATCCCTCCATTTTCCAGGTTTCTGAAGCTTGGTGTTCTTAGGCATCTCATTTTTTGGACACTTTGAGAATAATAGCACATTCATCCAGTTCATCTAACATGGAACTCTGTAACTTTTGTCTTGAGTTATGGAGAAGCTAAAAGAAAATACAAAGAAAAGTTGAATATATTTCAAATCATAGAGTCAAAAATAAATCTGACCTGGAGTTGGATCAGCCAGACAAGAAGAGTACATACCTTTGTTGTGCCAATCCAGTGGGTGTCCATGAACAACTGTGAACCATTAGGGGCAAGTGAGGGGTTTTATAATTATTTTCAAATCACAAAACAATCCAGTCCTTGGGTTGACCAACACCCATTATGAGACCAATATTATTGGGCTTGGATCTGCTCAACTATCATGACATTGGTTCTCTATCCACTTCACTCAACCCTCTCTGATGCATCCTTGGATATGATGTGAAATCAATGACAATGACACTACTCAAGTAGATATAATAGTCAATATATGCCTGCATAAAGTGGCTGATTTTGATATTTTCTTTAGTTTCATATGCAATATCTATTACTATCATTTATCTCAGCAATAAATATTAAACAACAGCTTCTGTCCTACCACCTCCCGTGCTTGTATACATTGATTGAAATAATAAATATAAAGATAGATATCACATATTTTATCCTGTTCTTCGGCATTCCTTGTCGCAAGATTGTACTCGAAATAGTAATCATAAGCTTCAATATGTATCACGTGGTATGTCCTGCAGGATTCCTGATATGAGAGTTCTATGCAGAAGAATCCACATAAGTATATGGCTCTTCACTCTGAGATGTCTTCAACATTACTGGCAACTTTTTCTTGCTCGCGCCTTCAAAAGCTTGATCAGTCTCAAGGATGTGACAAGCTTCGAAAGTAACTAGAATCCACGTAGGTACATCCCAATCAGAACTTTCTGATAAACCAAACACCGTTTTAAAGAATCGGATTGTAAGCTCACTTTCGTATCCCTCCTTTGTGTGTTATCTTCTCTTTGACTCGGCCTGGACTTTGTGGTACTTCATGGTTGTGATTTCCAAACATGACAAGAGCTAAATAGACTATAACTCTTCTGTCGTCTGAATATACGTTTCCTCCTTCCTCAGAATCTTTCAATGTCTTCAGTCGATGAGCTTCTGAGATCCATTTTTGATAATGAGTTTCAAAGTCGTGATACAACAGATCAGATGCTTCTATGTATTGGAGTTTCCTCATCAGACCGACCACTTTTCACCCAAAACTTGATGTATCAAAAATTTCACTCACTTGTATGCGGATGCCATAACCAGCGTGATGGTTTCTTAGCAGATTCAGCTACTCTTGTCCTGAGTTCAAACATTTTATCTTCCACAAAGGCAATCAACCAAGAAATAGCTGAAAAAGCTTCACTCTTTTTCTCTTCATCATTTCCAGAATAATAAGCTCGATTTTTAACTGCGTTTTTTAAAGCCCATCTAGCATTGTTCTTTTCCTCGTCGGATATGCTTGAAAAGTATGGCGTGTCTATATGTTTTGTCAAATCTGGATTGTTTTCTATAAAACTTAAAACTTCATCTAGATTACGCCAAGAATATCTTTCTTCAGATTCATGCTTTGGTACATGATGATATCGGTCTGATATGTTGGATTCCAAAGTCAGCGTGACCGATGGCCATACCGTGCAATGTCAGAACATCCGTACGGCTGCAAAGTAAATAAAAAAGGACGGAAGATGCACCTGGAGTTGTCATCAATACGGATCTTAAAGTCTCTTCCATGGCGAGGGTTTGACAAGTAAGAAAACTAAAAAGATAAAAGCTAAGGTGGAGTGACCAGTTACACATTTTCACTCCGGTGGTCGATTCAGGTTCGGCGATGACAAAGCGTTGAGGTGAGACTCAAGTGGATTTGAAATGAATCTTGTAAGGAGTCACTGTGGCAGAGACAAAGAACATCCTTTTATCAAGTCATGAGTCATGAGGGGCGAGCTCTTCCGTTTACCTAAGTCGTGGCGAATCGAAGTGCGTAGTTTACATACTGGTAGTACAGCTCTTCTAAGCGGCCAAGCCGAAGCGTATCATGATACCGGTATCATACACAAGCTTACACAAGTACGGGAAGGTCGTACGGCTCTGAATGATCGATCAATTTCATCTTTTCTTTCGCTCCTATTTTCTGAAGATCATTGAAACGCTAGATAGACAGATCTGGCAGCCTACATTTTCGGCAAATGGCATCGTCTCACCACGCCGGGCATGGATGTTACAGATCGGTTTTCTGTGATCGATCTTTCATGCAGGATTGCCTTTTTTCGTCTCCTGACCCTCATGACGAAATCCGCACATCCGGTTCATAACAGTTTAGTTTGAAAGGTGTGTGTGTGATGGATTTCCTTGATCTGGTGCTTGAATCGCGCTTTGAGGAATGTCGCGTTTCAATCGAGTGGAGTGTGTATCGTCCACTCACCAATCCCAGCTGAGCCATGTAAATACGACTCGATGACCTCGTCAGCTCCTCTTTCTCGCGATTCATGATCCTCAATCGAAATGAAGAGATAGACAATTTTGCTCAGCTTCGCTCCATCCGCCCAACTTTTCACTCATCATTTCTGCGGGACCTTCATTTGAAAACGGATCCAAACTCCATTAACCGAAAAACCACCCTCTTGACTTGAACTTAGGAGATTATAGAGCTGATTTGATGAAATCTTTCACTTTTTCAATTTTGAAAACCATCCTTTTTGGTTTGTTTTCAAACTAAGATTTATCGGAAGTCCTTACAGCATGAACAATGCCTCTGATCATGCGAGGGGAAACAGACTACACGTCTCTATACACCAAGATCGGTGATCTTCCATCCAGGATATATTCACTGCCTGGTTTTCTCTTAACTTTTTGACTAGAGAATTAAGCTCGCGAAACGTACATTGATCCTATTGTGAGTCTTCTTTGAACCTTTCTTGATAATAGCTCTCTCCAGTTGCACTTTTGTGTTCTTTCATCTGACAAAAAGCTACTTTTTGAACAGAATATCACAGTCCCAACGCTTCCGAATCACCTTTCAAGATTATGTGAGAATTCCTCTTCTTTTCTCGTCGTGAAGCAATCATCCTTTTTATCTGAAAGTTAATGGACCACAAATCGATGTGATTATGTAGTAATAATGGAAGAAGAAACACCTCGGATCAGAGGCAACTCTGACAAATTTCAAGTGAAGTCTGTAGAAATGGTGAATCGTACCTTGAGTGATCCTACCCAACAGTCAAACACCGAAGGATTATCAGTACCTCATCCTGTAAGTTTTTCATATCTCTCATCTCACAATCTCGGTTAATGAGTAGATTTTATTTTCTTGATAACTTTATTTCACAACTTGAAGCAAAGACGTTCTATATCTCCAAATATAAGAACTTATTTAGAAAACCAATTAGTCAAATTTCGTGAGGCTCAGCAACATGTGAAATATACAGAAGAGGAACCTTTTGAGGCTTTACACCTACCCAAGCGTGAGCTCATTATCCTAACAAGATCTTTTTAACATGAAACTGATTTGAACTGAATCCTTTAAAAGCGTCATATGGAATGTACGCCTCGCAACATAAATCCTTTCAATCGATGCGCGAGACAGTGATTTCGATGCCATTAACTCTTAGCGATAGTATGAGTGAAAGAGAAAAAGAGTATGATACTAAACTTAGTGAAAGGAATCGAATTCGAGAAATAAAAGAGTTTAGTCTATTTCTCTTTTATATTTTAAATTCACTTTTCTGACTTTGTTTATCAATACATAGTCCAGCGCATTGGATCTTTGATACACCATCACGAGTCACCTCACCAGATTCAACTGAACAATTAAATGAATTTCAAGATGGGTCTAGCTTAGGACGTGGACTTCATGAAACGAATTATGATGATAATGGATCATCATTCAAAAAACATCATAAAAGGAATTCAACTTTCTCAACAGTTTGGGATGAAATCGAACCAGTTGAATCTTGTGATAGTTCTATTAATCCAGTTTGTGTTACTGTACCTAAACTCAAACAAGATTCAAGAGAAAATTTAACTTCTTATCCTTTAACAAAAGTACTTAGAAAAGATTTAGAAGATGGTATTTTGAGTTTACTTGATTTATCACAATTTGAAAATTTCTTAATGAATCATGAAGCCAGAAATACTTTTAGGAAATGGTTAATTGAAACTCATCAAGTTAATCATGATTCAGGCAATGAATCAAGTCCTTTACCACCTCAAGTGATCAAGTTAGATCAATATGTAGATGAAACAATTGCTTGTGAATTATCGAATAAACTTCGGTTTCATTCGAAAGCTCTCTTAGGTATGTTTTATTTTATCTGTTCAAACCAATTCAAGTTTTACAATCACTCATCTTGAGTATGTTATTTCTTTAGATATTTATTATCGAGATCATGAAAACATAAAATCAACTGCTAGACCAAGAGCTTTAAACAAAAAATCTTTTGTTGATGCATCTGAATTAGCTAATACAAGAGATAGGTTTGGACCTAGTAGAAGTTGGTTACTACAATCTCTCTATGATCAAGATTTCAAGGTATGAGCCTTTTCGACTGTTTAATATTGACTGTCAAACTATTGATCTTTCTGATCAAAAATCTACTGGACGTTTAGGTCTTCATTACAAACAAACTGGTCAACTTGGTGAAGTTGAAATTAGGTAGCGGTCTAGCAGAAGAAGATTATAGTGGTCTAGGTAAGCATATTCTTGGAGAGAGAATCAACTATATTCCCCGTAACTCAAACTTTTCTCACGATTTGGAAAGGTGATAGTTTTGTTTTATCTAACCCGCGATTCAGGTAAGTGCCTATTATCATATTTGAATCGAGAGTTTGGATTCTGATCACATCAATTTTCAACAGAGATAATCCAGTCGTGATTGTATCTCCCGGATTTGCGTGAGTGAAACACAAGCTTTCAGCTTTGTGCGATGATCTGAATCTGTTTTTTTTTGTCTTCAACGACGCCCAAAGTGCTGTCACAGGTCAGTGAAGTATCTGCTCGTATTGTAAGAAGCAGTTACTGAGATGTGACATCTTTACTTCCTTGAAAAATTGAAAATATGATCAGGATACGATAGCAAGGGCATCATTGGACGGAATTGTCGGTGAGAGCACCATATTCAATCTCAAATGATTCAAAGATGTGATTTTCAACAACGTCTTTCATCTTAATCCACAACGACTGCTCTGATAGGTTCTTGCAAGGTAAACGTTTCATCTTCAATTGTCTTGAAATCTAAACTAACTTGAATTCTATAGGTCCAAAAACAAACCCTAATTCAATTGAACGTTTACGAAAGGGCTTACAAGCTGGAGAGCCATGTGTCGAGCTTTTATTAAATTATCGTAGTGATGGAACTCCATTTCAGTGTTTACTCACTATCCTTCCACTTTTCGATCAAAAAGGCGGATTAACTTGTTAGTCTCATCTACACGGCTTTCTCGTACTATTGACTTCACGCTCATTTTTCTCAAATCATTTGTTTTGCGTTAGACTATATTGGAGGACAAGTGGTGAGTTACACTTTCATTTGTTGAACAGATGCTATCTTTTCACTCCTAATACTGAACTGTCATATAATGTGATCTGATTATGAATTTCAGAACGTCACAGGTGCGCTCAAGGCATTTGGAGATCTTGCTTCTGTTGTCAGACCGCCTGCAGATCAATCACAACCGAAAATCCAAACTTTGACAATTTCAAACCCATCACCTACGATGAACAAACACATTCAAGGATTTCAAACCAATGAAGAAATACCTAATCCATCAAATTGTCCAGGTAGTGAAACCAACACACTTTGTCCAAACCGATCAAGACATCATACTGGAGATTCAAATTCATCACATCATACTGGAAAACTTGCTAAATTGAATTGGTTAACTTCTATTGTCAAACGTGAAAAAGAAGTCTTGGATTTAGAGTTTCAAGGGTATTCGAAATTTGCTACTCCTTGTGAAACTTTAGAAAATAACATTTCTTCTTTTCAATCAGCATATTCAAAAGTTGAGATTTGGATAACTTTTTTTACAATTTTATAAAATAAAATTATGAGATCTTCAACTGATTCTTCTTCTTGATGATTAACTCTTTGGATGGATTTCTTTAGCTTTTATTATTTAGAAAGAATTCAAGAACAATTGTATTTGTAACATCAGATGCATTAAAATTCCTAGGTAAACTTGACTTTTTCTTCTTTATTCATTCATTTGATTTGATTTGTTCAAACCCATTTAAAACTTATACATTTTTTTCTTTCCATCTTATTCTCTTTCAGGTTTACCAACCGACACTTTTCATGATACATATTCATCTGCATTAATCCATACAGATTTTTTTGATATCGTCGATATGGGTACTCATCGAAAGACGAAGAATTTAAAAACTTCATTAAAAAAAGTCATTCTAGAGTATGTATGATCTAACATTAGGAAGAGATTTTTTTGAGGATTTTGGTTTCTGACATGCTGGGATTTGTGTCTTGATGGTTTAGTAATCTTGCGGCTTCTGTGAAATGTAGACTCGCTTGGTCTCATACACCTTCCTCGGATCAGTTAGTGTTTTCTATTTTTTGCTTTCCTTCAGACGCAAATTTCAAAAGCCTTGTAGAATGTATTGATCCTCATCAACGGTATGATTTTTTAATCTTTGTTTATGTGGTAGCCATGGAGCGCTAGCCAGGTTAAAGAAAGCCACTGTAGCTAAAGACTGTGAGTCATGAAATATGTCAATGAATCTTTCTGAGACGTACTTTTATCTGACATTTGATTTCAATCATAATAGGTGTTGTTCATGTATGTCCTCTTCTTCTGTCTTTTTTGTTGACAAACTAGAAACTAACACGAATCCTTTTCTTCTTCTTGGATAATCTAAAAAGTTATCCCCATTAGTTGTAAGTCTCTTTTTCTGAATGACTGGAAAATAATGAAATTGACTTGATAGAATTGTAAATGATTGTTTTCCTTTACTTTAGGATTGTTCATCAAGTTGTACTTCATATATAGCAGTTATTGGTTGAATTCGAAATCCATTCGATGAAAAAATATACTCCAATCAAGGTCTGAAAGTGTTTGAATGGATGATGAGACGGAAAATTTTCTTTGATTTTGTGTTTCATATGTTGTACAATAGATATTTAATTTTAAAAATGATTGATTCAGACTTTGATAAGAGAAGGCACCATTATGAGGAATCACATTTATCATCAAAAGTGTTTTTTTGTGTAGATTTGAGTATCTTTGAATGTAAGATTAGCTAAGAAAAGCAACAAGTTGACTGAATGTCAGAGTTGATCATCTTCAATCCATGCTGAAAAATGAGGATTGACTGAGTGATACTAAAATGAAAAGTTGATTTGTGCTTCCCGAAATTCAAAGTGAGTGAAAACCCCAACAATTTAAGTTAATATAGTTTTGAAAAAAATACAAATAAAATAGAAACCAGTCTGTATTTTGAGAAGTGATTGACCGATCGATCAAATTTTTTTAAACTCAAACTATAAAAACAAACCCAATCCAACCAAAAGAACTCATTTAACTTCTCATCCATTCTTCAGTCAGGTTAGTTCATCTTCTCTCTCTTCTTAATCAAACAAAAGAACTTTAAATAATAATAAGTCTTTCATGGAAACTATCTAATTTCTGATGAATCACTTTTGATCCTTTAGATCTTCCTTTCATCATGAACGCTGAAAAACTCAAACAACTTCAGGCCCAGACCAAGACTGGTAAGTATCTTAAAACAATCACCGATTCTATCAATCAATCAAACTCATTCGATCTGTTCTCATCTTATCTCTTTAGCTAGCAAAGGTCAACCAAGGAGGAAGGAGATCAAACGACCAAAAGGTCTAGGAATGGGTGCAGGTAGTGGAGAAGATAAAAAACTTCAAGCTGCACTTAAGAAGTTGAATGTACAATCGATGGCTGGGATTGAAGAAGTCAACATGTTCAAGGAGGAAGGTAGTAAGATCCTTCACTTTGCGAACCCTAGAGGTAATTACCCCAATCTTTTACTCATCATCGATCATGATGTTTTTCTTTCTTCCGATCGACAATGAAACCTATAACCATCTCTGATTCTTCTTTATACAATCGATCCTGAAACTGATCTTGCTTGCTTTTCTCAACTTTGGTCACTCTATCATCCATCAGTTCATGGAGCAGCCAACATGAACACTTTTGCAATCCATGGAGCTGGTCAAGATAAAGATCTCACAGAATTGGTGCCAGGGATCTTACCTCAATTAGGTCCAGAATCGATTGCGAACTTGCGTCGATTAGCTTCATCTCTTGGGGTACGTTGATCTGGTTTTCTTTAAAGACTCACTGAATCGGTTCAAAACCTAATCAACTGTTTTGGTTTTGTTCTTGGGTTTCGGTTTAGGATTTACCTAATCATAACTTGAATAAGAATTCGAATGTAGTACCTACAGATGATGATGATGACGTACCTGATTTAGTGGAAAACTTTGATGTAGAAGAAACGGTTGGAAAAGATACTGCATTTGAATCAGTTGATTAGAGAAAATGAAACCTAAATGAACAAATCAAATGAAAGAAATCCCCAGTTTTTATAAACCAACCGAAAAAAAATTGACCTTGATTTAAAAAACAAAGAATGTTTCATTTTGAAAAGAAGTAAAGATTGAATCAGAATTAAAGTTTGGAAACTCGAGAATCGGTTTTATGTTTTATTTGATTGTTTTGATTGGTTTGATTACAGACAGAAGAAATGAGATCTTAAATTGAACTTTTGCTTTTTTTATTTTACAAAGTTTTTGGTTTGGTTTGTTTAATGAGATCATTTTTGAATCAATTTTTGCTTCATAAATTGATCAAGAATTTGTAGGGAGGATTAAATTAGAGAATTTATATTGGTTGCAATTTGTGAATTTTTGTTTTGTTGGGTTTTCTATTAATGAACTCGAATTCTGAGTCATTGAGAAATCATCTTTGAAAGATTCTCAATATGTCATTGATATATGAATCATCAAAAGATTGGAACTCTGGTTCTAAAGATCACATTTAACAAAGTTCTCAAGGAATCTCAACCAAGACCAATCAACTTTTGATCTTCAGAAAGACTCATTCCTCATTGTAAGGGGGTCATGACTCATTTGGTGAGTTTGAGTTCATGTTATCGTCATTCAGCTGTTATCAAACTCCTTATCCTGATTTTGAACCTCTATGGGGTCCCAAAGGCCAACTTTACAAACCACTTTTTTGTTGACTCAATAAATCCAGCTCTACATACTCCATTGCAACAAATATGTCACACACAACCTTTAAAGATAAAAACCAGTCTGGTCATGGTCACTAATCCAATGCAGTGACTATCAATGAGAAATCTCATTGAAACACCTTTCATATATTGATTACAAGACATTTGGGATAAGATGTTTAGGTGGATTTATACAAAAGATACCTGATCTATGGTGTACAATACAAGAAATCATCACTCTGAAGGATGAAATTACCTTGATGAGTTTTAATCTTCTCTTCAGTCATACCATTTGTGTTTTTATTTGTATTCTGCTTTGATCTTGAGTTTGGTTAGGATCTTGGTTTTTTCAATCCAAGTTTACCTTCTTGATCATGCTTCAATAATACAACTTGGGTCGGATTATGTGAACAAGTTGATCTCTTATAGCCCGGTTAGCTCAGTCGGTAGAGCATTCGACTTTTACAAAGTTTCGTCTCTTGAAGATGGCATCGAATTGTCGGGGGTTCGAGCCCCCCATTGGGCGAGTCATTTTTGCCTATTTCCTCAACATTTTTTGATTTGGAATCAACCCGATCAAAGGCAAAAAGAGTCCTTTGAGAGTGTGGGGTTTCTAAAGGAAAAAGACGTGATTTAAGTAGACAGAGAAATTCCATCTTCCTGTACCTCACTCACCCTTTACCCCTTACCAACTGTGATCACAAAAGACAAGACAAACATGAAGTGATACAACCTGAGTCTTTTTTTCTTTCCGTTCAACTTCTCTTTCTCTCTGTGGTAAAAAATGAATCAAGAGTTTCTTAAAATTAATATTTCAAAATAGAGAAAAAGTGAAGAAAAGAAAAAAAGTTAATGAAAACATTGAACATGGATTTTTTTTTCGAGTGTATATATTTATATGTAAAAAAAGCAAAATAAAAAAAAAACAGAAAACAGAAAAAAGAAAAAAAAAGTAACAAATTTTTTTAGTAAAGTAAATGAAATTGAATTAAATAAACAAATCCAATTTGTGAAAATTGAAATTGAAGTTATTGAGAAAAAAAGGATGTAGAAACCCGAAGACGGACAAAAAAAAAGAAAAAGAAAAGACCCTACTACTATAAATATATATATGACAGAAAAAAAACCTAAAAACAATTGAGGAAGAAAAAAATAAATATTAAGTTTTAAAGGTGTGTGTGTGTGTAAGAATAAGGTGTTTTCTTCAAAAATTTGCAATCAAAAAAGAAAAACAGAGAAAACAGAAAGAAAACAGAAATACATGGAAAAGTAAAAGAGAGATCAAAGAAAAATATTTTTTTAAAAAAAAAGAAGAATTAGGAAAAAAAAAAGAATCAAAAATTCAAAAATTCAAAATCAACAATGCTACAGATTAGCTTTCGAAGAAAAAAAAGAAGAAAAAAAAAGACACTATGCAAAAAAAAAATGACAGAGAATCCACCGCCCTTGAAAAGATTTAAAAGATCTTGATTTCTTTAACGATGAACAACGTTTCTATGAAGTCCTTCACTTGCGGTTCTAAAACTGATCGGACTCGGTACCAAATCATCAGGTCCATTGATACCTAAAGAAGTTTGAACATAACCACCCGAAGGCAAACCCGAACCCGATGGATCATGATCATCATCAGAATTAGAAGTAGATTGATGATTCAAAGGTAAAGGTTGAGGATCAGAAGCTGCAAACAATTGATGATAATATGAAGGATGATGAGGATGAGAAGTTGAAGATCCATGAGGTAAATAAATCCTACGTGTTTGTTCATTCGGATTCGATTCTTCGGTCCATGATCGAGATCGAGTTCGAATATGAGATGGTGGTGGTGATTCGAATCCTTCATCTAATCGGATTCTTTCTCCTATTCCTGTTGGTAAGGGTGGTGTCATCGGATCTGATGTTCCACTGGTAAGAGTGATCACTGGGATCGTTTCTACTACTGCTGTCATTTCAACACTTTCAGATCGGGATTGAGTTTGAGTAGCAGCATAAGACCTTCTAATCGGATGATGATCTTGTTCTACCTTCGTACCATTCTTCTTCTTCTTCTTCTTTTCATTATAAAACTTAGATTCAGCTTTATCCTTCTCAATCACTTCTTCAACCAATTTGATCTGTTTACTTCTACTTTCTTCTTCTTCAATCCCTCCAATCCTACCATCACTTCCACTTAATCCTCCTAAAATCATTTCTCTAATCAAATCTGAATCTTTTGGCCAATATTGGATTTGTATATATTTATACATCATCCTAGGTACTCCTGCTAAAACTTGAACTAACACAAACGAGGCCCAAAATTCAAAAGTCGAAAATGTATAAAGTACTATATCTTTATAATAATAATCGGCTAAACCTGAATAAATCGCTGTCCAAACCAAGACCATCATCGATGAAACCGTCAAGACGATGACAATGAACCAAGGAAAATATCGTGTGTTGATGACAATCAGATTATTGGCTGCAAAGACCGCTCCCACTGCAACGGTCGTTCCGAATTCCCATATACTCACATCTCTTCCGGTGACCGAAACAGTAGGTGAAGAGAAATAAACAAAATATGGAATCCAATAACAAACTGCCGATTGATAAGTTCCATCCAACATATAAAACCAAAACTTTGATCTTGTGTATTGTAATCCTTTAATGCCACGTTGATAGAGTGCTGGAAAAGCCATGGATGCATTCGCACTTAAATCTTGTTCAAACGCTCCCATCAATCCGACCGGTAAGGAAGTAAACACTAGATTATATAACATTATAAATGTATATTCAAATAAATACGATCCATTGAAACTACAATAGATTTGATACCAAAACAAAACCAAGGTCCAAATGATATTCTTGAAGAAAAAGTTGGCATGCATATCTGCAATTCGAATATAACACCATCTTCCATGTACTAATAAGAGTCGAGTTAAGAATCTAAATTGGCCTAATGCATAATCGGCTGACATGGAAGCTTGAGCACCTTCTAATCCAGCGATCCCAACTCCGATATGAGCTTCTTGAATCATAGCTACATCATTGGCACCTAATAAAAGATCATCTCTTCAGTCACATTGCAAAAACATCAATCAGATTAAAAAAAGAACTGACCATCTCCAATGGCTAAAGTCATTGCACCTCTACCTTCCTTTACCAATTTGACCGTCAATGCTTTCTGAGCAGGAGAGACACGACAACACACCACCGTTTCACACTGAACAGTAAGAGCTAAAAAGTTGGCCTTTAAAGAACTATCTAATGCATATCTCAACGTATCACCATCAATGACGACCGCATACCCATCTAATGGTCTCTTCTTCCTTAAAGTGGTGCTTCTACTCTCATCAGTACTCATCTTGATCCCACCCTCCGACTCATCATGATCCGTTCTAGGTGGTAAGGAATCTTCTCTTCCATCACTCTCTCTTTCATCAATCACCGACATTAATTTCTCTAAACCTTGTTCGATTTGAGACCTAGCACCTTGTTCAGTATCCGAACTAATAATCATAATCTCCATCGTATTCTTTAACAAATTACAACTATATCCAATCTCAATGGCCGTTTGAAGTTTATCTCCTGTCAAGACCCATAACTTGATCCCAGCTTCATGTAACTTTTCAATGGCTTCAGGTACACCTTCTTGTAATTTATCTTCTAATGCAGTAGCACCTAAGATCTCTAATCCTCTTTCAAATTCATCGGCTACTTTTTCAATCGCTTCTTCTCTTTCTTTACCTCCAATCTCACTCGCTTTAGAAAACTCTACATCAAACTTTAAATATTCTTCTTCTGATACTTCTCGACTACCAATCAATAAAGTTCTTAATCCAGCCGTCGCAAAGGCTTCTAAATCTAAATTCGTTCGATTCTTCGATTCTAAATCATGATCTGATCTTAATCTTGACATGATAATACTATCAGCTCCTTTACAAATCAATTTAATCCTTCCATCCGGACATCTAACCAAACTACTCATTCGTTTTCGTGAGCTATTAAATGCAATGATCTTCAAAAGTTGATATTTCTGTCGTTCTCCCAAGACTTCTAATGTTAAAGTATCACCCAACTTTTTCACAAACACAAATCCTAAATCTCTTGCTGCTGCTACCAAGGCTGCTTCATCTGGACTTTCAGCTTTATATTCGATTCTTCCTTCTGATTTGCTTGCAATCACATCATGACACAATGCCAGTGAAGTCCAAAACTCAATCATTCTCATTCGATGTTCTTCTTCTTGTGGATCTTCATTAAACATATCTTCCACTAAGCCAGGTGAGATTAATGTCAAACTTTCGTGATTTAAATATCGATGTCGGAAATGTCGTTTCATCAGATCAATCATCTTTCGTTTAGATTCAGCTAGATGAGTAGCAGCTAAAGCAGGATCATCTAAGGCAGATGGATCATGATCAGCTCCTCTCTTAGCTGCTCCTCTCATCGCTTCGGTGACTCCTTCTCCATACGCTATACCTGAGATCGAACAACGTTGGAATTCCATGACGTTTTGAGTCAAGGTGCCAGTCTTGTCACTAAAGATATATTCGATTTGTCCTAGATCATCTGAAAGATTCCATGATTTAGGTTCGGCTGGACAATTCAACGGTTCATAATACATTTCGATATCTCTGAAAATCGTTAAAGCTTGAATGGTTCGAACAAATTCAAGTGTGATCACCAATGAGATGGGTACGATCGATTGAAACAAGATCAAAGCTGCACTAAAGTATCCTCAAATCAGATCGAATTCAAACCATCAATATACATCTTATAAACAAGAACCCAAAAGAAAGATCACCAACCCAAAAGTGACCAATGCATCTAATGTAGCAATTGATGAAATACTAGCATTCTGTTCGTAATAATAAGCACTCGTCGACGTGTTTCCTGAATAAATTCCATCTCCAATCGCGTTGACGGCACAGAGTACGACCAAGATGACGAAATTGATGATGACAGCATAATTGGTTTCATCCGAGATTTTAGCTTTCTTGGATGGAGTATCACCTATGATGAAGATTCCGAAAAAAAAATCAGTCTCATTTCAAAGTGGAATTTCAGAGATCAGAGAGAATCAAACCTTGGTTCAACATGATTTTAGTATCTTTACCAGTAAAGACCACCAAACCCATCACCCATTGAGTATTTCTCAAAGTACAACCTCTCAATAACATCTCATTAATCCCAATCACTTCTCTCTTCTCTGAACCTTTTTCAAGTTTTCGTCCTTCCGTCAAGGGATGTTCACGTCCTTCACGTTCGTCTTGAGTCCAATACTTTAATGTAGCATTATAAGCATACAGATTCGCATTAGGTGGTTCTGAATCAATTAAGAAATGAGAATGTTCTAAATCTTCTTCATTAGCAATCGATTTAGTCGATTTAATCGATTTCCTCGGTTTCAAATTCGTTTCTCCATCCAAATTCTTCGTTTCTACAAAACATTGTCCATCTGGATCTGATGATGATAAGATCACCAAATCGGCCGGGATAGCTTCATCTTCTCTCAATAAGACGATATCGCCTACTTCTAATTTCTTCCATAACGTTCGTTCCCATTTAGCAGTTCCTGAAGTAGGGGTTGAATAATCTACCACTTCTGATGATGATTTTCTTTGTCTTGATTGGATTGATGAGGTAGCTTTGATGGGTGATTCAGATCGGATATTCATTTCACTCAGAGCAGCATCCAGTACAGATCTACTAGGATTAGAACTACTTTGACCTGCTTCACCAAGACCTCTTTGAACTCCTTCATCTGAATCCGAATCGAGATCTCCCGTTTCATTCTTTGAATTCGATTCTCTCAAGAAATCCGTATTAAATGTACCTTTTTCCCTTTCCCTCAACTTTCTAACTCCTTTGGTAATCTTTGTACGATGTTGACCTGAAAACTCGGTTTGTTGATCCACATCATGCGTTTCCCATGGCCAATCCAAGTTTTCCCACCATGATCCTCCACCTGATCTAGGTACATTGACATTTCTCCAATCTCCTAATCTTGTACAGGGTGAGTTATTCACACTGTTATCTAACATATATCTTCGATAATCTTCAAAACAATCCTTGGCTCCTGTTACACATAAGATAAACAGTAATGGTAACATGGCGACTTGAGGTGTGGCGGCTCCAAAGATTGGAAAGTTTTGAAAGATGACTAGGACGAGGAAATAAATATTGGCTACGTTTCGAAATTGTTCAAAGAGATTCTATTGGAAATCGAAAAGACGATATTGAAAGATCAGTTTCATGTAAAGCCAAAGTTGAAGTATAGTGAAGAGAGAGAAGAGAGAATCAGGCACCTTTGGTAAGAATGAGATGATGGTATATTTAGTAGTTCTAACTTTATTTCGAACATATTTAGCTAATGGATCTCCATTTCGATCGATCTGACCAGTAGGTAAGACCAAGTTCACATAAATCGATCTTCTTTCATTGGAAAAGGAAGGACCTCGATTCGAATGTTTCTTATTAGATTTCTTTTGTTGTTTTTTAAAATCAGTAGCCGGTGAATCTTCTAATTCTTTTAAATTTTGAGTATGTTCATCTTCACCTTCACCTGAGTTAGCGATAGAAGGTAATGGAGGTGGATCTAGATCAGGTGCGATAGGTAAGGGAGGTAATTTAGGATCTAAATAAGATTTTCTTGTATGATTTGAATTAGCGGTTGGAGGTCTAGATCTTCTTTGAAATCGTTTACGTGCTCCTAATGGATCTTTACTTGATGATTGACCTAATCGTTTCTTTTTAGCTTTCCTTCTACGATCATCTTCTGAGATGGCTTCATGGATCGTTTCAGTAGCAGATCTAGTTAATCGTAATCTATAGTCTGGATCATTTACAGATAAGAGTGCTGAATCTATATATCTTCCGTTCTCATCAAAATCATCTTCATCTTCTAAGAATAATGGAGCTGGTTGAGTAGGTGGATAGATGGTTGAACGTGGTCTGTATGAAGGTAAATGAGGAGTTGTTTGATTTGATGGACCTGGAGTTGGATTTGAATGTGGTGAGTTTGAATTTGATGGATGGTTTGATTGTTGTTGTTGATGATGATGATGATATGCTGATGATGATGATGATGATGATGATGATGACATTGAGAAAGGATAAAGTTGTAGTATGGTTGGATAGAACGATGAACTGAAAGGAATGTGAGTTTGATTTGAATGAGAATGAGAATGAGAATGGGTTGATGGGTTGATGGGTTGAGTTGGTTGAGTTGGTTGGTTGATTAGTTGGTGGTTAGGGTCAAGCTTGAATTGAATTGGTGAATTGGTAGTAATCGATTAGTGAATTAAGTAAAAGGGTTCATTCTTTCTTGATTGCTTGTTGTTCTTGTTGTTGTTGATGCCATGTTGAACTTCAAAATACACAATCTTCAATCGGACTAAACTCAACCTGTTGTACATACCACCACTCCTCAGGCTCTCGTCTCGTCTGGATGGCATGGATTAACCGCATCGCCATCTCATCTCATCTCATCTCATCCCTTCTCTTCCTCTTCCATCCATCTCTCTACTATTCAATTTCATCAAATCACTTTGTATCACCTCATTTCTTTCTTTCGACATGCATAAGAGTTTGAACCCCAGTACGAGAAAACCAAAATGAAAATCACTTGGAAAGTTGATCAAGGTATTCTGAAAGGAAAATCTAAAAACCAAATCTTGTTCTGTCTCCAGTCTGATTTCTTTAGCCATCTACACATGCAACATAGACAAATTCAATTTTGGTTGACTTCAAGTGAACTAAACATGAAGAATTGTGTTTTGGGACGAGTTGTAAAGACAAGGGTTACCACTCTTACCACCACTTCATGACTTGTGGTATCACTTCTAGAAAGTATACGATATCTTATCCGTCTTCAGGGATTTGTGTACATATTGAGAAGCTACTTGGGGATCTATCCCTCATCAAGCAAGGGAAGATGCATTCAGGGGGATTCTGACTTTGTACAGTTGTTTTCGTGCGGTCACGTGACCCGAAAGTCGACTCATCCACCTCATTCTCCCAACACTTTTCCAACCTCACCAACTCCTTTCCTCGTTGATTCCGCGCGTCCGATGCCACTTGACGCGTCTAAAACGGGACAGATGGTCTAGGATATCCTTACCAACAACTTGATCAACAACTGGTCAGATCCGAACGCGTCTAGCCAGAGTGCTGACGCGGTAGCCGCTTTCTTGAAGGGCTCGGATGAAGGCCTTCCGCAGGTTGAGATCACAACCGGTACATACGCTTGGCGTCGCGCCAAAACAAACCGAGGTTCCTCACCTCACCTAGTTCTCGGAGAAGAGAGCGAGGGCAAGTACCCCGGCCTCCTTGGGAACACGTTCAAACAATCACTGGCACACCAAGAACTGAACAGATGGCCAGGTTAGTTCCCGGCAACAAGGACAACCAATCCCGAATGACTCTCCTCAAATTTGATGGAAGTCACCTAAGAAGTGATCCAGCTACCAGCCAAAGGACAAATCACAAAGAAAATCAGTGTCAACATCGACATGGCGGCGGATATTAGTGCTTGTCAACATGGCTTTCAATCACCACCAGCTGGACCTGTCCAAACGGGTCCTCTTTCATCCGGCTGCCAGCCTTGAAAGCTCCACTGAGCGGCGGCACCATTGCCAAACCCCACCCTAAATCCTAATGCCTTGCTTGATTTCCAAGCTGGTACTAGATTGGAAAAGCTTGATGTTCTTACGGAGAGCCTCCATCTTCTATCATCCGCTCAAAATGGTAGACCCAACCGACAAGGGACTCACAAGTCCAAAGTGGGTTCTTATTCCTCAGCAGAATCAAAAATTGGATCCCAGGGAGCACAGTTGCTCCCATCAATGCATGACACGGGCCCAAAGGTTTCTCCTAAACCCAAAACCCAAGAAACAGGTAACAAACACCATGATTCTGGCCCAAATAGACAAATCCCAAGTTGCACTAGCATCTTTATCAGTGATGCAACTAATTCAAGGATTTAATGGAGCCTTCAAAACGCACAACCTAAAATTCAAAGACCCAGACAGGTGAACTATTATAGTGAAGACAGTTCAACAACATCCATCACATGATCTTGTCCTACACCTAGAAAGCACAGCTCATGTGGAAAAAATCCAAGCAGCCAAAAAGACCTGGTTGCCAGGTTTTGACCTCATTGCAAAACAAACAGGAGCACTTCACAGCCTTAGTTCACACCATACCAACGTCTTTTGTTACAGAGATTGTGAACCACCAAGAAGAGCTTTTAGCTTCAAAACTGTGACCTTTATCCTCTGGCTTAACCCCAAGCTAAAAGGGGACCCCTCAAAAAGATAATCCACCCTTTGCATAGGACTTCCAACTCAAGAACGGGCAGAGAAATGTGTTAGAGAAAGAATTTGGGTTGGTCAAGGTTTACACAACACTGAAGCAGGCCAAGAACCTTCAAAGTGCTGCTATAACTGCAGGGATACTGGTCATACAGCACCATCATGCACCCCCCAGCTATGTGCCCTCACTGTGGAGGCAATCATCACCCTCACAAATGCAGAAAAAAGCCACAACCCCTATGAGATGCACTGCATGTGTAAGAGCTTTGGTCAAAGTAGATCCAACAAAGACGGTGAAGCGCCTATTTGAGTCCAACAACTCATTAGATCTGCTCTGTTGGAACCAAATCACAGATGTGTTTGCTTTATGTAGTGTTTCTATTTCATTCTTTCATTTCTATGTTTCTGTGTGTACTAAAACTTATATAGACATAGTGATTTGTACCACTTTTGTTTTACTCAAAACCTTTTGTCTCAAACCTAACCATGACTTCTTCCATCAAGCCTAGTTTATCAATCTTGTCTTGAGATGGCTTTAATGTTTTTCTTCATTCATTATTAAAGTTTTTCTCACAAACAACCTTCTATCATCACAAACATCTCTCCGGACTGTCTTTGATCTTCCTTACAAATATTTGACTGATAGTGTTGTTTATTTGATTGCTCAGGTATGATTGTGTTTGATGTTCATGTTTAATGTTCTCCAGTTCATTTGTGGTTGTGGTTAAAAGAAATAAATTCATCATTAAAGTTTTTCTCACAAACAACCTTCTATCATCACAAACATCTCTCCGGACTCTCTTGATCTTCCTTACAAATATTCTACTGATAGTGTTGTTTATTTGATTGCTGAGGAATCCTTGATTCCTATATGCTCCACTCACTCTTCCATGCCCAGTGTGCAGCATGAATTGTGGCTGACCAAGCTCCCTACAACCCAAGCTCCTCACCCAAAATAGTGGTGACACCAGAAGTCACTGACATCACCTCCCAATGTTAGAACAACTTTTTCAAAACTTACTTTACCTGAAACATAATCCATATTACAATCAAACTGTTGACACTCATCAGACACAGCCAATTCACTTTACTCTGAATTTATTAACCTTTTTGCAATCCTTTCTCTTCAAGCACCAATGGTGAACAACTTTGATTATTTACCCCAAGAACAAACTACATGGACACTTGTCTCCCCAAAACCAACAGAAAGAAAGACAGGAGCCCGCCCACATGCTTTCCTTTATATACAGAAAAATCTACAAGCTCAAATAAACCCACTCACCTCACTATTCAGTGGGATTATAGGGCTCAATCAAGGATTGAAAGAGAAAGAAGACATTTATCTCAACTTTATAAAATTAAGATGACTATGTAGGTAATCTAGATTGAATCAACTTTGTGAGATATCTTGAATAAACTATGTAAGACAGAAGAGTTTTTGGCTGGGTACCATGATTGGATTGATCAATGGAAAGACAGTACAAAGACAAGGATTGATTGAAAAGACCTTGAAAAGATGAATCTATATATATGAAGATAGTAAAATATGAGGATTGCTTGGATTAATAGAAGAGAAAGAGGAAATCTGATTACAAATGATATGAGTGTTCAACTTACAGTCAAATCAGAGTAGACAAGAAAGTTGCAATGTGATTACAAATGATATGAGTGCTCAACTTACAGTCAAAGACAATGCTGTCAGGCAGCAGTGTAGCTCATTGGTCTGCTCACAGTTGCTTTGCTCTATGAATCCAAATGTCTTTTCATGTTGTGTTGCATTACAGAGCAACACAACTAAATCAGCCCTGGAAGCAGGGTATCAGACATGCCCAGGGTGAATGAGTGGCATATTCCAAGGCCTTTAGGTGTAGGCTATGGAGAAAAAGAACTAATATGTAATCTCCTTTGTAATTACACAATTGTCTTTTTTGTTTGACTTCATAGGTAGCTAATGAAAATGCATGACTCAAATTGTTCCTTAAACCTTTTTGGGAGATTTCAGGGGTTGTGTTGCAAGCAATGTAACAGGTGTTGCTTTTGCCCATTGTGATGCTCCTGTCTAGATAGAAATGTATGTTGTTGCATTGCTTACAACCCCCCCTTGCAAGCAATGCAACACAGAAGCTCATTGTTGATGTGAGCCATGGCACATAGGTTTGTCAGGTCACATATCACCAAGACTGGGGTTTGAAGTTTTTTGAAGTAAGTCATTGTCCTTATGCTTCCATGATTACCCGCTAAAAAATTCTTTGACTTTGCAAACACACAAATCACTTAAAAGCAAATGAAAGATATATTTGGTCCCACAAAGAAAAAAATTGACCATTTGGACATAGGAGCGCTGATTCTACATAGCTTTAAAACCCATTTTTGCAGCATCTGTTATTCCGCAGACAAGGATTTTAGGAAAGGAAAAACCTAAAAAAACAGTGTGGGTCTTTGTGTCACACACGATTGGAACTTCCTACTTGAATTGCCCTATTGGAACATCAGAGTTATACAGACAAGTGTGATAACTGATCTTCTGTTCATCAAAAATAATTCTATATGACCTATGAAGAATATGATTCATGGGTTGTGGTAATTGATAACTCACTATCACTCACATCTTTTGCTTATGTTGTATTGTTGAAATCATTTGAGCTCTCTATCATCTGCACATCAACATTGGTACAACATTGTTGGATCTTTGATCAATTTACTGTATCATCATTTTGGTCAAATAATCAATATACACTTGATTTTTCACTTACAGCTGTTCCAACAATGATTGATTCATTTTTCCAAAAATTCTCTCCTGTACAAAACTCAAAGTTTTGGTTTTATCAAGTTTTCTCTTCACAAGGTTGAGCAATATGGAAGGAAGACAATCATCCCATGAATATCATGTGTCCTTGTGACCATTCATCTATAGATCTTTTGCAATGGATTTTGCAATATGTGTGCCAAATCCTCTATGATAATGGTTTGGCTTTCATGGCTAGCAGCAAGGACATCCCTTTCTGATTGGTTGGTAACATTTGACATAGCCACTCTGTGGCCAACATGCACATCAGGCGTGGTTTGGTTGATTCCGGAGAAAACTGGCAAAACCAGTTACAGTTGTTTGTCTGCTGTGCTGATGAACCTTTTACAATTTTTGGATCAACCATTCTTGGAACAGATGTATTATAATTTTTTACATCACTCTGAAATAATTCTCAGCTCAAGGTCTTTCTGAGATATTTTCATTTTCTTGAACAAAATTTATTGTGGGTTTTTCTCTGTAGATCACATCTCAAGTTCATGATAATTTACCACTGACTGAATGATTTACTTCATCACACACCTTGATCAGAACAACTTTGAAGTTTATACAAGGTTCTATTTGTCTTCAATTCTACTTTAAACTGATTCGGCTCATTGTAATGGGTATTACAAACTTGTGATCTTAAGATTGAATGGTGATTTGCATTTGTTAACGGTTAGAAGGCGATGAAGTTGGCTCAGCCTGGCTCATTCCTTTGGTACAACATATTTCTCTAAATTTGCCATCACGTTTATAACATTTTCATGACGTCATGCATTTAGATGCGTGTTTATACGGATTGATCGATATCAAATGAAAAATAAATGACATGTGAAAGTTGATGACAGTTTTGGAAATCAACCTCCTTTCTGCTTTGACGAGTTTAATCCTCAAATCCAATCAAAACTCAAGTCTTTCATTTGTGACCTTGCTAAAACAAAACTCATCAGGACTCTCACAAATAAAATGAGCATCATCAGGAAACATGGCTCTGAATCGAATCAATCCTCTTGGACTTCATCACTCAACTCATCGGACTCTCAGTCCTGCTTCAGCTTTTCGATTTAACCCCGCTTTGCTTTGATCTTCGCATCAGACGTTGCTTCCTTACTTTGTTTTTTCTTGACTTCATTTGATCGAGCCCGTCAAACGAGGACGATGATTTTCCACAGCCTTTGCGGATTAAGACGTCTCAAGTGTTTGTCCTTCACCGCGCATACGTTGTAACATTTACTTTCTACGTCGATTTTGAGCTTTGATCGCACTCGTCAAACTTTCAGGCACCTTTCCGAAGAGCCCTCCGACAAAACAAAAGATAAATAAGGTCGACAGAAGCTCCTGCACAAGGTCAACTGGAAAAAAGAAGGCGCCCAACGTGGGGCTCGAACCCACGACAATTCGATGAATCATGTGAAACTCCTAAGAGTCGAATGCTCTACCAACTGAGCTAGCCGGGCCTATGATCAATCATCGCCAATAAGCAACTCATCGACGCACGCACCATCTGAAATAGACAAATTGATGGAAGTTACCTCAAATTGGATTTGTGAAGGAGAACAATTTGATTTCTAAACGAGACAAAGAAACAAGGCATTGAACATGTACTGATGTTGATGGCGTTATTAGACATCAAAGTGATTTTGACATCTGTGTCTTTGAAGCTGAAAGTCTGAATTTTGGCCTTGTGAATGAATGATGATCACTGGCTGATTAAAGTGATATAATTCTCTAGCACTGCAATCAAAAGGTGATCTGAAAGTGGTATCAGCTGTTTGTGACACCCAAGTATGTATGACATTCAGCTAGTTTGCTTCTTGGAGTCAGAGGCAGCAATACTCTGAGATTCTTGAAAGCACAGTTTTTCTAGGAAGTATGGATTTTATAATTGAGCATTCACGACTGAACAGTCGAGAACTCCTTTTTTGAGCGTAATCTTTTTGGTCAGTAACATTTTGTTTGTTGAGGATTGCTTGAATGGTCTCTATACCATTGGGGATCTGCTTGTAGCTCTGAATCAGTCGGGATTCCTGTAGATTGAGGCCTTGAATTAACTCATATTTCTCACGTTGCTATCCTCGTTGGGCCTGCTGAGTTATGACTCGACTTTGAGAAAGTCGAAATATATAACGTAGCCTCGGCAATTTGTGAGCAGACGCGTTTCAAACCCAGCCTGGCCTGTGCATGCAATAGTTAAACGTGAAGGAGATACATGATTGTTGTTGATGAATGGAGATATGCCAATGGCCTCATGGCAATGCCAAATAGTAAGGGCTCGATCATCTTAATTTTCTTGGTATGAGCTCATCCCTCGTAAGCAGGTCTCGAGACCAAATTGAGGATCAAGTGACGACTAAAGATGACGTCCTGACCCTGACGCAAAATGCAAAGATATCTTTATAAAAGAGTGTATGTTTTTCTTTCAACAAGCTAGCCATTGTAACACAACAGACTTAGTTTAAAGCTCTAGTGCCAAAGGGGGGTGAAAGAACAAAATGATTATCAACAGATGTACACAGACACGCACAAGTATAAAGTCAAACAACAAAAGGCTATATTTATGAGAACAACAGATACGGAACAAAGGTAACTATGTACTAGGTATAAATATATATATTAATCGAAAAGAGATGAATGAGATTTTTATAAGAGAGAACAAAGCTTGATGTTTGGATGAAAATAAAAGACAAGTATTCACAAGTACCAAGAAAAGATCTTATGATTTTCCTTCCTTCCTGTAGATCAAGAAGGTTATTCACAGATAAACACACAACTAGAGAAATTGAATGACAAAAGGTAAAACTGAAATATCAATAAAGATAGATAAAGATAAGATGACGATTAGATTAAGATCGTGTATATATCACATCACTCGCCATTCCAACTTTTATGAAAAGTGCAGAGAAAAAATTAATTGATTCCAAATATTTGGTTCGAGGGTGGTATCAGTCGCCTGATTCTTTTGTAATGGAGATGAAAGTATTCTCAATTCAAGTGAGATTAGATCCGATTGATAGCGAATAGACTTGGTTTCTTGGGTACAACCATTGATCGAGCACTCGATTTGTTTGTGAGAGGTCTTCGACTACTAGGATATCGACATAAGCTTCGACCAGGGTTGAATCCGTCATTCAAAAGTCTAAAGAACCCCACAAGACAGGTACGACATCAATATTTGGTGTCTCATTGAAAGAATTCGGATTAAAAGACTTACACATTGGCAGCAAAACTGTTTTCACCAGAGGCTACTAATACTCCTGTTTCTTCTTCCGGTTCATCATCTACTTCTAAAACCAAACTGTTCTCATTGCTTTCCCAAAAACTACTTTGACTGATAGTTTTATGAACTGATTTTGTTTCAAGATCCCCTAGTTTCCAAGCTTTCTTAGCATTCCTACTTTGAGTACCAAGTGTTTTATTAGGAGAAGATGTAGAGTTATTTGAAATGATAGATCCGGCATAACTACTTGGTCTGGCTGGATATATGGGTGAAGTTCTATCAGAGATGGGTGTACTTGACTTATTTTCCTTCTTCAGAGAGGATCGTCCATCGGTTTCTAATTTTGATAACATTTGTACTCTGGTAAGCTTAAGAGTTCGTTTAGGTGATGGTGTCACATTGATGCGAGTTTCAACAAGCGCTCTACGTGTTTTGATACTAAAACTACTGTTGTTGCTGTCATTAGGAGGTGGATCCATATGTAATCGACTTCCAGGTCTACTCGAAGGATTCAGAAGTGACGAATTAGAACTGTTGCGTGATCGATATAAGGACGAGCGTTTATCAGATGGTGAATTGAAGCGTTCAGGTGATACAAATGCAGATGGAACTGGCAAAGTCACTATCAGTGGTTGAGGTACAACAGGTGAAGGTGTTGCCGAGTACTGAGACCGCCGCTTGTTAGCAGATAGTGACGGAGATGCATGTGTGATATGGACAGGTGTGGCGGGTCGAGATCCAAAAGGATGTTTAGGAGGAGGAGTTAACTCCAATTCACAAGAGGATCTTGGTGAATCGTTAAGATTGACAGAGATAGAAGGATACGTCGACTTATGACCCATTCGGGAATTGAGACGTCGAGCCGAACACGTTTTCCGATAGGTGTCGCGTGAGTGAGTGAGAAACTCCAGTATCGCATCATGTGTGGAGGGTGTCGCGAAGGCTATAGAACAAAGTGTGTAATCAGCCCAGCTGAGAGAAATCTCTGCGCCTTGAGCGATTGAGCTCATGAGATGTACTTACTACTCAAGATATCTTTTGAATACTCAGTATCCGGCCAGCGTTCTTTGCTCAACTTCAATTCTTCGTCCACTTGAGCGCACAAAAGACGCCAGCTATGGAACAGCTGGTTGAGCCGAGCCAAGTCAGCTGCAGAGTCTGCGGGGACAGCTTCATCTGATTCATCAGCTTCTATAATCACTCGGGCTGTGTTGTCAGCTGAGTTGTGGATCACAATGGTATCGGGGGCTTCCGTGAGTTGATCTGCACCGGATGAAAAATTTACTGTGTCATCGTCTTCCAGTTCATTGATGTCCTGATGTATGGGAGAGACGTTAGACGGCCCAGCGAGAGGAGGAAAGGATCTATTAGAGAGGTCACACGCTTCCGTCGAGGGGGTGCAGGGTTTGTTCACTTGACTCGGACTTTCTTCGATATTGTAGTTACGCTGCAAAAGTCTAAGTGGTGAAATGTATTTCAGAGTTTGATCGGCGCTTACGTCTGATGTTTGAGGAGGTGAGAGAGGTTCTGGGTCTTCTTTGCGCTCCCACGTCTGGTGTTCAGTATCATCATGCCCAGCTGATGCAGAACTGAAGGAGAGTGAGCCAAGTGAGGGTGTGCGAAGGGAAGAGTGACGATGTCTATGCGACTCGATCTGGTGATTGCTTAGAGTGCCTTCACTTTCTGGTTGTCTAATCGGTGCTGTTACAATGCTTTTGAATCGACGGATGCTCGACTCGAACATCTTGCTACCGACACCGCTACAACGCTCCACCTCGAGAGCATTCCTGCAGGAATCATCTCCACTTGTCATCGAGTTTGCTGTTGACGAAACTTCGGAATCGCGACGAACAGAGAGTCGAGAGCCACTGAGTTTGCGTAAAGAAAACCTTCGAATGCTCGAGGTGCGCGTAGAGGTAGGAAGCCTGGGTGCTTCCTTATGAGGCTTCTGTTGAGATTTTGCGCCTGATTGGGAGGCCGAAGACCTTCGATTAAATCGGGGCATCATTGAGAAGGGTTTGATCTCCCTGGTCAGGTCATCAGCCATCAGCCATGATTTTGATCCTTTCGCGGTCGGAGATTCGCTAGGTCCTAGAAAGTCTTCATCTTCAGAAGGACGTTGCAAGCTGTTCAAACTCTCATTGTCGACATCAAACTTTCTTCCGATGAGAAAAGAACGTGCATTCGGTCGAGCGGGTTTCAAAGGCTTGGTCTGTTGATGTGAAGAATGGATGGGGTGAGATGGGTCTTCGATGCTGAGATGGCTGTAAGAAGTTGAGCCAGTGCAGAGAGATGAGCCGTGGTCCAGCGCAGAGTGAACAGTTGGTTCTGAAGTTCCATATTCCTCGTCGTCTTCAAAGCTAGGAAAAGGTATTGATATCATTCCAGGGCGAGCTAGGTGAGAGTTGGAGAAATTGGGTAATGAGAAACGAGTAGAGGACGATGGTAATGTCGCGAGCGGGATGAGATCGGAAGAAGCAGATGGTACACTGTGAGACCATCTCATGTTGATATCATTCGAGGGAGGGTCAGGTTTGGGATCGGATACGGTAGGAAACTTGATGGATCCAGACACTGGGATGTGCGACGTTTGAAGCGGCTTGGAGTCTGGTAGGAGGCTTCGAGGAATGTGGTCATCTTGTATCCTTTTCTTTTGAGTGTGTTGAATGAGTGTTGGTGGATCGAAAGAAATTTCAGACAGTGTATGGTTAGAGACTTGTTGAGGAGGCCTCAGGCCGATTGAGCCTCGATACATATTTGTATCTCGTTCCGGCCCTCTCGTGTATGGAGATTCCTCGCGAATCAAGCTAAGAAACAAATCGCCCCGGCGATGATCATGAGGTTGAGAAGGGTTTTTGAAAGGAAGTTCATCGAGTAGCACAGGTGCAGTCGGACAGCTAGTGAGGAATTCGAGTTGATGCTTAGTTGCATCGACGAAGCCCTTGGAGACAGGCTCAGGTAGCGGCTTTTGAGGCGTAAGGTGATCACGGGAAATGTTGATGAGTGAAGGGCCTACGGGAAGGTGATGTTCAAGTCAACAACAAGTCATTGTGCCATCGTAATAAGTGAGTAGAGTGCGCTCTGGCTCCCACGTCCCACGCGAAGTGGGTTTGAATGTCTATGTGTGGTTGGAGGAAAACTCTTGACTGATGATACAGATATACCCTTGCTGACCACTCGGAGGTGATCATGGCATGATAGGAGTACAGTCACCATGTCATAAAGACTTAGCCAATACAATCTCAATACCGTGAGAGGCGAGAAACGCCTAGAAACTGGGTAAAGGGCAGGTGAAAACGGTACAGTATATTTGAAAGTGAGCCCCCTGCATTGACTACATGGATATGGTAGGCTACATACTTCAGATGTAACGTCAAGTTTAGGCGAAGAGAAAGAGAAGGTAGTGAAGGAAGGTGAAAGGACAGAAATCTAGTGAAGTGATCTGGCAACCCAACCAGAACAAAGAAAGTAAGCTCACGTTTTTTGACTTTAATCTGGCTGGATAAACTTTGGTGTGATGATTGTCCATGAATGTCAGTAGTCACGGCAGATGTGGTGTCTTCGTCCAACCAATGGGATGAGAGTCTTTTGGGATCGTGAAACTGAGATGAAGGACGCGATCGGGAATTTACACTGTTCAAGATTCCCATGAAGCTAGCCCGAACGGCTCGAGTATGATCCTTGGATCGTTTCTTGGAGAGTGATTGTGACGTAGTGGGTTCATCAGAGGTAGGACTATAAGGTGGGCGTTTCTTTGAAAAGACGAATTTAGCTTCAAACTTATTGACCAAGCTCTTCACGTTTGGTGTTTGACGCGATACTTTTCGTTGAACTGGTGCTGTGACTCGGCGAGTAGGAATCTGTGCATTGGGTAGCAAAGGTCGAGTTCGAATGTTAGAAACCGATGGGACCGGACTTGAAGCATTGTGACTGAAGAAAGCAGATGGTGATGTGAGGGCAGAAGACATTGGAGTAGGAGCGGGGATGATGCTGAAGTTTTGCTGAAATGAAGAGTTTGATTCAAAGAGAGCACACTTCTCCTTGACGGAGGTAACGAACTTCGGAAGGGGTTTACTATGGGTCATGAATGGTCATAGTCGTCTAAAGCTTCGTGAAATTTATTTTGAGAAAATAATGAATGACAGTCAAAGCCAAGAACCTTAAGTTCATGAGCTAGAAATCCGACGATAAATAAGTTTGTATGATAGGAGTTGAGAAGTGAGATGATGAAAAATTGAGATGATCAATGGAAAAGTGTTGGTCTACCGTAGAAATCAAATTACAAGAACATCACAAAGCATGACATCAACAAGTGGGTTCGAGATACAAAAGAAGTGGAAGTGAGAGTGAGGAATTAAATTTGGTTTGATTGCTGGTGATTATTATTTGAACAGATTGAAATAAAGTTGAGATTGAATTTGATGATTGATGGGTTTGATTGAGGTGTGATAAGACAGAGAACCCGAGTTTGACATCTCATTAAAGAAATCTTAAACAACCATCACTCGTTCATTGCCTGTCCTTCCTTGAGGATATCCGATACATGCTTCCTTGGTATTCTGACGAAAAGATTTGAAGAACTTGGACGAACACCGGTTCCCTTGAGACTCAAAATGATGAGCTCGCTCAACTTCTACTTCTAGCTTGTAAAACCAATCTCAACTCTTTCTCCTCAAGCTCGTCTCATGGCGCATCCAATTCGGATTTCTTCTCTCGCCACGGTGACAACCTGTTGCCGATTGTCTCTTCCCACGCTCTCGGCGCTCGCATATCATACTGCATACAACAAAATAGAAACAAACTCCGATGGAAGCCGAATGATACACAAGAAGGCTAAAATAGAGAAGCGCATGCATGCATCTCAATTCAGCACTCAAGAGCACCCAGTTCAGGCGTTGGGTGAAATATATGCTCTTCTACCGGGTTCTTGCTTTTGGAGTAATCGTTCTTCAGGTCAGAGATCTTATCAGATTCTAAGATGCTCTACAAGGAAAAAATGACGAGGAGGGTCGTAGGAGTTCAGGTTGTAGACGTTGATAGCCAAGAGTGAAAAAGTTCCCAAGAGTTTCCTTAGAATGCCTTCGGATAAGAGCATTAAGTCTGAATAACATGTGGTGAAGATGTAAACAAATTGAGAACAAAATGCTAAAGTCCGCTGACCTTTGAATGCTGTTGAAAGCCGTGGTCCTGGAGGAAGAAGTAACATGACCATCTCGAAGGATCTTCTTATTTTCATATTTGCTGAGCCTCCTTCATACCCTTTGCCAAATGAGTATGTAGGTCATGTCGTTGATCAAACTGGGAGGCTAGGCCATTCAAGTACAATAAAATCGAATATCTTGTTCTAGATCATGGTAGGATGAATCTTGAAAGCTGGCATCCTAGAATGAGCCTGCAGTTTAAGCCGATCAAACCACCGAGGCAAGAGCCATTTACGACCAAGGCATCCTTCACGCTCGCCCATCCATGCTCTGATCGTAGGTACATAGCTGACCTGCCGCAACCTCCTCACTAGCGTGTCGCCCAAACACCGGGTTCTGAATCTTACTCACCTCGCCTAAGCTTGTATACAACGGGAAGCTTGTCCGGTCTCGATTTCAACGCGATCAGCTTATCAACGTCGCACGTTTCAATTTGTCTAGCCTTCCTGGTCCATTTCCAGTTCCTGCAAAGGACACGTCCACCCGAACTCCAAAACTATCGGCCGTTACCAAGAGTGCTACTCCAAATCAGATCGTACCAATGGCTCCATTTCCCAAAGCTGCAAATGGGATTGCTGCAAGCAGTTCGAACAGAGCAACAAGTGCTACCACAAGAACGCTTCGAAGTGTAAAACAATCTTATTGAGTGAAACATCTACACTACGGTCCAAACTCAAATGGCTCTTTTATCCTCAGAACGTCCATAGTCACGAGCATTGCCATTTCATCTCAGATATCTCCAACTTACAAATATGGTATGTAATCAAAACATAAAGTAAGCATTTATGTACCGAACACATCTTCATTATGAACAATAAATAAAAATCAGACGTACTCGGAATATACACCTAGTAATCATTATCTGATGCTTATCAATACGTTCCAATGATATAATTAGTTCAAATATAATGAAAATGCCATGTCTATGAACACCATACGTCTGATGTTCATCTCGTGAACATTATACACAAAAATGAAACCAGTACATATTGGTTTGATGGCCACAACATCAGACCTGAGGCTCAATCTTTGGAGTCACTCGGCTCATCATTTGCTCAGCCTCCACTGATTTCAGGGGCCATCCCTTCACTGGTTTTTTTCTTTTCTTCAACTCTTTCTCTTCGTCTTGTCTCTAACTTTTTCTTCAATTTTTCTCTTTCTTCGACCGTTTCTTCAACTTTCTCCTTTTCGTCTCCAATTCCTAGTTCCTCTCCAGGCTCCACTCCCCCACTTCTTCTCTTCATGTTCCCAGTTCCTTTTGTTTTGTTTCACGTTGGTTATCAGTTCCATCTTTGATTGGAATTTTGAGCACCTCATTTTTCTCATGTTCATCTCTCGAGCCACATCCTCAACTTTCTCTTCAACCTCAACCTGTTCATTTGTTAATGTCCAACCTACCAATCTCATTCTTGACCCTTTTCTTTTTTTCCTGTTGCCTATCATCATCCTCAGCTTTCCTTTCTTTTCTGTCTTCTGCTTTTCTGTTGTTTGTTATCTATGTACAAAATCTGATTTGTACCTCATAGAATACCTCACAGAGGGATGTCTTGTTTCTCTTGCCTCTAATTGTGAGCTGTCTCTATGTTTGCAAATCATCGTTACAAAAAAGTGAATGCAACCCACAGTATGAACACTTCAATATGAGAGAAAGAGAAAATCAAAATCGATCAAAACCGATATGAAAAGCCAAAAATCGAAAAATTGAGAAACAAAACCTGCCAAATGCTCGATCGGTCTCATGTTTGATGGATGTACTTGGTACATATCCACAGTGTACTCAGAAACTCAGCACTTTCTCGGCAGTATATAACACCAAGAAACATTCTGAGAACATGGGACTTACATCTTGAATGCGCAGAGCATTCAAAACAGTTACATACCAGTTATGTATCGTGGCTGCTCAAAGAAGTTAAGAAGCGTACCGTTGGGACGTACCGCCGATATATACGTTATATCGATGGTATCATGTTTACTATGGACGTTTTCAGAATCCACAGACCTTTGTTTCTGGACATCCAGTCTCATTACATCTCAATTACATCGGGTTTGGACCGTAGTGTATACGTAGATAGCCATAGTCAGGTTAATCCCATTAAGGTCTTAGCTTAACTAAGGTCTAACCTTCAGTTCGACCGGTCTACACCGTCGACGAGCGAGCACAAATAACCCAGACACAAAAGCCGATCCCTCGACACTCGAGTAATCGAGGATTGAGTATTTGGTGAGAACAGAGACCTCGGCCCCATTCGATTTACCTGGTCTACATGCCTGCTGTCAAGGCTGGTTACAACGTTATGCGCCCAACCGTGTGAAGGCATAAAATCGTGTGAATATGGTGTCTCGTATTTTTCTTGACGAAACACTCTAATAGCTCTCCGAAATATGGTGAGCTTATCCACCAGTTGAACTTGCTGCATACTCTTCAGAAGGCAGAGATGCTGATCTTTTCATTGTTTCGATATACACTTTGAGATCACCTTGACAATTTCTTATGTACAAAAACATATATAGGGCACAGTGTTGATGAGGATATGAGCCTGCTCGAATTCAACCTAATTCAACCCATCCACCCTCGGGACTTGAGATCTCGAATCTGTCGTCGGAAATTTGTCCAAACTCTTTGTTCAACCTTGATGAAGTGTAGATCTTTGACGTCGGGCGATAGAACAATTGCATTTATCACTCTGAGACAGAGAGAATCCAACGAAGATGGACGTGGTTCGCCCGTCTTTCGTATGGTAGTTGCTCCTTGCTTTTCTTGAGATTGACGATATAAGAGCACGACTCTTCTCGAGATTCAGATACAGCATCCTCCCCAGCGCATCTCTTCTACGTCGAGATTTCCATATCCAATTATATTTCATTCCCTTGACAGAATAGCTTGCTATACCTTATCAAAACTTTGCAATATGAATCTATCCTGGGTTTCTGCTGCGCTGGCCTTGGCTGGTACATGTCTCACTGCATTTTTCCTTTTGCTATCTTCAATTCTCGTCTTCTGGTCAGACGGAGCACTCATCTTTTGCTTTGCGTGTATGCCATCTCTAGTGACTGTCAGCGCTGGTTTTATACCGTTGGAGTCCGAGTAGGTGATAGTCAATTACTCCTTATTCTCTCATAATCCTGATGTTCGTGAAGAGGCTGATTCCTTTATCTACTATATCTCATAGTGACCAACAGATTGCAGTTACGCAACCCAATTCCATCACACAGACCACAACAGTTCAGACAGTCACTGCATATTTCCAAAGCTCGATGACAGCTATCCAAAATTGTCACGGTCAGATAAGGACTGTAAGCCAAGCACGGGTTGCGGTCACAACCATTACTACGACATTCCAAAAAATCCAGGCTCAATTTCCTGACTTCCAACAATGCAGGTGCACTGGTCTTGGTCAAGACGTACGTTGATTTCCATGAATACGCGCACGGCCATTCAAAGTCGTGCCAAATTGAAGCATGTTGCTTACCCACAACGTGAGACAGGAGGGCTTCCATCGAATCGTCATCGCGCTGTTCACTCAGTTCCAGGCTGTTGTCAACACCGTCAATGTACGCTTCAGTGCTTCGCTTGACCTCTTTCAATGTCAGTCATGTTGAGTTTTGTACTGTATTATATCTAGCTAAATTTTCCAAACTTCTCCAGCCTGTTGGCAAGAATTTGAGAGCTACTTTGGCACAGTCGGTTCTTTTGCAGCAAACATCCAGCTCAACTTATCAACGCTCCTCCACGGGGTTCTTAACCTCCATATTCTTTCCAAAATCGGACTCAATCTGAATGGTCTTGGCATTGACCTCAGCATCGGCATTGGCATCGGCCTCGGCATCCACCTTAGAGATTGATTTCCTCACAAAGAATGGGTCTGGGATCTGGGCGGATTAGCAGCTGGGTTGTTACGTCTGAACTTCATGAGTCAAAGTCTTATCAGTGTGCATGAAAAAAAAGCACAAAAGTCAGACGCACAAAGGAAAAAACAGAAAGAGAGTCAGGTTAAACACAAGAGTTCTGCGGGCGGAATTATTTTTGAGCAGAGGCTGGACAAGTTTTTCATCAAATACTTAAGAAGTAGTAAGTAGATAACACAATTGAGGACAGATATTGTTGTTGGATCACATCCCAAAGTAGCCTGGATGGGTTAGAGGAGAACAAAAGCATGTTGTCTTTTTGGAGTGACGGAAAAGGTGAGAAAGGCTTAGGTGTGAAGACGCTGCACAGGATTTTTTGTATTTTTATTAGGGAATCAGATTGATTAGACAGGATGGGGATCAATGAATTGTACGATTTATGAAATGAAGTTACACACATAAAACCGCAGACGAGTACATCTCTTGTGATCAAGGTGTTGACAGTCCCAGATTGGATGTGGATGTTGCAGCTCAGAAGATACTCATTTTTGTCAAAGTGCATGCCAGAAAAAAGGATAAATTCAGGTTACTGTGACAATTTCAACTTTACCTGGTAATGCTACACTGACCACGAGGAAATGAAACAGAGCTTAACCTCATAAAGGGCCAAGTCTACCTACATAATCATGAGAGAACCTGCACTTGAGAAAGTTCTTGTTTCTTTAGCTGATGAAACAGCAACATGGCATTACGTCCTCTGTCTATCATGCTTGATTTCTTACCAAGATTGATTCACCTCCATCAAAAAGTGGTCAAATCTTGGCGCGCTCATTTCCTATGATTCATCAACACATCTTTATCGCAGCAATATTGTTTGTCTGACTTATCCCGCGCTGATTTATGCCAGTGTAGGAGGACAAGGCCACCATAGTTTTCTGGCTATGTGGCTTTTACTTTGGCTCAGGTCTTACAGTGATCTGCGCCGAGTTTCACCTCCGCAAGAAAGATTTGCTATCCTATGTTATTGTACTTGTACTGTCTCAAGCATTCACTCATGTCAGAATAATGAACAAGCTCATTATCTGTTAACTCATCTCCGCTGTTCAGCCTCGATATTTAAATACATGGAACTGAATAATCTGGCACCATGGTTTGCGTTTCTTGACTATTTTCTTCCAACTCTTGAAAATGAATTTAGATATCAATCACTTAAAAGCTTTTTCAAGACTACTATACATACTGATTCCTTCAAATATCTCGAGCTTGCGTGATACTGCTTCAAATTATTCTTTGTAGCATAAAAAATTCCTCCACAAGGCGTGAGGTTTTGTTGGGATTTATCTTTACCGATCCCCAGGTAACCTTAAGATGAGCTAGGTAGTGCAAATATAGCAACATAAAAGTCAGAACCATGATGCCCAATCGTCGAATCATACGCATGGTTGAACCACTGAGAAGTCTGAACATGGCCCAGACATACCTTCAGTAAAGCCAAAATAATTTAGTTTACCAAGCTTATATAAGAACAATCAAAGTATCTTCTTGGTATGATATATTTGTAGTAAGGAATGTTGAAAGAAGTATGGAGGAATGTCACGTGGGGTATAGTTGATTGTTTTATGTCAAGATGATTTTTGCACAGACAAAGAAGTTGTGAGATCAGCCAAGCGAATTATGCACTGTGATTACGTAAAACTCTCATAGCCCGGTTAGCTCAGTCGGTAGAGCATTCGACTTTTACAAAGTTTCGTCTTCCAAAGGTGGCATCGAATTGTCGGGGGTTCGAGCCCCCCATTGGGCGAGTCATTTTTGCCTTTTGTGGTAAATTTTTTAGCCGAGACAGCTCAACTGCCCTCGGGACTCGGAACCCTAATTCGATTGCTGATCAGAAGCCGTTCAAAAATTTCGACCACGACCTTCGACAAAAGCTTTCTGGTTTGGGTCTTTTACCCTTACAACCTGCTCATCATTTAGACCTACAAGCATGAGTGCCCTCAGGCTACATCCAGTAAGGCGACTCTTATTTACCAGCCAACGAACTTCTCTACCATGTTGCTCAAGGTCGATTTCGGAACATGTACGTTGAGCTATGTCCATCGGGAGTTCGCTTAGGAAAGAATCCTCATTTCAGTCCTCCGCATAGGCTTCATCTAAATTCAGTAATGTCACTCATCCCGACGAGCCCGCTCCTCCGGAGGTGACGTGAGTTCCGATGAAATTGATAAGAAGTAAAATATGGAATCAACAAAACTGACCTTGTCTATTTCTCAGCGCACAGATTCAAAGATGGGCAGAATGCACTTTAGTTCCATACGCTAGACCTCCCTTGATCATATCCAAGGGAAAAGGTTGTAAAGTTTGGGACACTACTGGACGAGAATATCTCGATTTTACCGCTGGGATTGCTGTCAACGCACTGGGTAAGATTTCTTTGATCGTTTTCACTTGAGCTTTTGATCTTATCACTCATCAAGATTGGTAACATCGCAGGGCACGCGGATGAGCAAAGTCAGCAGATTCGAAACTGAAAAAACACCCCCACCACGAAAGCTCTTCACACATACTCATATTGACATCTGATCATCACGTCTGTTATAGTTGCCCAGCTCTTGGCACATCAAGCTTCATCCTTAACGCACAGCTCGAATCTCTTCCATAACCCATATGCCGGGGAATTAGCAGTCAGTCTGGTCGAAAAAACGAAGAAATATGGGGGAATGGGATTCTCAGGTTCAACTGGAAAGAAAAACACTAACGAATCCGGCTGCAAAGTGTTTTTCGCCAACTCGGGCGCTGAAGCAAACGTGAGTCACGAAAAAATCTCAACTTGATTTCAAGAATATATAATGTCTTTCTTATTTTTCAATTTCTCAAACTTCAAGCTCAAGCTGATGCTGATGACTTGGGGTATTATCTAAAACATATAGGAAGGTGCTTTGAAATTTGCCCGCAAGTTTGGTAAAGTTCAAGACCCTACCGGCAAGAAACACGGCTTGGTAAGGTCTTCATTCAGATTGGTTGGTTCACTTGAATATGCTTATGCATGCGATCCTTTCTGGGCAGGTGTGCTTCGGAGATGGGTTTCATGGCCGCACAATGGGTGCACTATCAGTCACATATCAGCCTAAATACCAAGCTCCTTTCGAACCTCTCATACCCGGTGTTACACATGGAAAATTGAATGATGTTGCCGCTCTCAAGGACTTGATAACCAAAGAGACATGTGGGGTGATTGTTGAACCAATACAAGTGAGCAAAGCTCTTGGTCTTGCCTGTTTTTGTTTGACTGGAATGAAGTTTCTGGCGCTAAATCTCATCAATCTCGCTGATAGGGAGAAGGAGGCATCATGGAAGCCTCAGAAGAATTTTTGCGCGCTCTGAGGCGCCGATGTGATGAAGTGAAGGCTGTGCTGATCTTTGACGAGATCCAAGTGAGTCAGCCCTCAACTATTCTGACTCTACTTTGATGGCAGAGCTGAATCCTACGTGGCGGATAGTGTGGATTGGGTCGAACAGGTTATTTATGGGCACACGCCTCCTTTGATACTGATTGCCATCCGGACATTCTGACTATGGCCAAACCGCTTGCAAATGGAATTCCTATCGGAGCTATCCTGATGAGAAACGAAGTGGCCAATGTGATTCAACTTGGTGTGTCAATTTGTACCTCTATAGCTATCTCGTCTACCAACTCAATCATTTTCTTGTCCTATTATCATGACAGGTGACCATGGAACTACATTTGGGTATGTTATGTTCCTCACGATAGTGTGAGATCATGTGGAAAGCCTCACTGAAACTGACACCTTGGCGGTTATCTGAAGTGGTGGCCCCTTGCAGACCTCCATCGCTCATCATGTACTTCAAAGAATTGCCCGCGACGACTTCCTTGCTAGGGTCCATCACGCCGGAGCCCTTCTCAAAGATCGACTAACCAAATTATCTCAAGACTTTCCAACTCTTATAACAGGACCCATCCGTGGACGTGGATTGATGGCAGGGATGCAAATGAAGAAAGCTGAGCACGTAAATGAGGTAGTCAAGATGTGTCGTGAAAGAGGCGTACTCGTTCTTAGTTGCGGAAACTCAACAGTAAGATTTGTACCAAGTTTGATAGTTGAAGATCAAGAAATTATGATGGCTACGGATGTACTTGGGGCTGTGATGCAAGAACTAGTACGCACTAATGAACGTTGACTGTCATCTTGGTCTTTGGCATCACAGAAGGATTCTACGTAGTCCTTCACGAGGATATATTTGTAGTTTATATCTGTGTAGTAGGTTATCACACTCTGTCCATAGTATCTGGAACTGGTTCCCTTATCATTCCTAATGACTAGGGACCAGTTGATTCACGGACATACTGGATGTCCATATTGTACTTGTATCCCTCATCATCTGCTTTCCTGCTTTCATGATCTCGGGCTCCGTTGTCCTAGCTCCAATGCCCAAATTCATCTCCCATGAACAAACATTGTCAGATTGAGCAAGAGTGATAACCTTTCACTCAATGTGCTGTAGAGCTTTTGAGGCAAAAAAAGAATGTTGTGGACTACAAAATTGATCCCCAAAGAAAAACAAATTGTGTGAAGCATGTAAAGCCTTCAGAGCTGTTATCTACACAGTGCACAGTGAACACAACTTAGCACCAATGGAGACTGAATCTGAGTCCGCGCTTTCGGTGCAAGTAATCTGCTTAAGCGAGTGTTGAATTACTTCCCTATTCATATCATGAGTCTGACTCTAGTTACTACAAGATCTATACCATATGTATACTGTAATGCTGCAGGCAAATTGTACACTCAGAATTTTTTCATCTCAAGGCAGTGGATATATCGACCAGCGGTGTGGTTGCGCCCAGAATTATCATGGTATTTCTTATAGATTTTGCCATGCAACTTGCAAGCCATCAAGAACTCAGGATTGTGCTATGTATGGGGTATTTGGTTACATTGGGGTGCCCATTAGGGGGATCCAAGTTAGCCAAAAGTGTCTAAAATGTTTTGTACTTTTGGCCTCCTCTCAGTCCTTCAAAATTTATTCTTTTACAACCAAAATCACTAGGTAGAATGTGCTTCTTAAGTGGGCCTTTTTTGTCTTCTAGAAATTTATAAACTATGAGCAGCATTTTACAGTTGTAATTTAGGCATCTTTCAACTTGAATCCCGCTATTATTCCTAGTGTGTTGGATTTTGAACTGAAAAGATATTTGTTCTCGAGATATGTGCTTAGCAATCACATGAGCTCAGCAGTCATAGGGGTAGCATTTCATGGACCATCAATAACAATGCAACATTGGTAGACCTCTGCTGTGCAGGAAGGCTGTCACAGCCCCAGGGGTGGATGCAACCAAAAGACAGAATGATACACTTGATTCAAAATGGAATAATGACTCACCAACACACATATATATAAGCAATATCATTTGTCTGTTTATGGCTGGCCTGTAGATGGCTGGCAGGAAGTACATGGGCACAAGGGGCCTAAAGGTGAAAAAAGGTCAGCCTGTGTAGGTAAGTTGGGGTGGCACTTGGTCCTCAAATCCCCAGTCTTGACCAGTCTGAACCTCAGGAAGACACAAAAATGTCCCCACTGCTCATTGTGAAGCCTTCTGCCTAACCCAAAGCCGTGAGCACTGAGCGGGAGCCCAGGTGACTTATCCCCTAGGCCCTACTCGACGTCCTGAGACCGGTCTTACTACCCGGGGCGGTCTATCCTAGAACCCGATAGACCCCCGCTATACGAGGGTAGGTTTGGGACATGTCGGCAGTCTTTTGGCATTGCGCAGGCGAATCACTCACCTGCGATCCAATTCTATAGAACCTTCCTTCTTCCGAGCTTCGATCTTGTTGCAAAGCTATGGCCTCCAAACAAGTGGGTAACGCATTTGTTCGGTGGGTGCGCTGGTCGATCTCAGCGGTAGAAGTAACAACGAGAAGCTGATCAAAATCCTACTCTCGACTTTACACATTGTGATCGAAATTTGCAGCCTTATTGTTGAAGCCGGGAAAGCCAGTCCTTCACCTCCAGTCGGCCCTGCTTTGGGAGCCAGAGGAGTAAAGGCAATGGAGTAAATTCAATTCCTTACATCAATCCTGAACGCAATGAGTCCTGAAGCTAATCTCGTTGTTTTCTTTCTACAGTTTTTGCAAACTTTTTAACGCACAAACTGGTCAGTCCACTTCCAGCGGTCGATTCACGTAACTCGCAAGCAATGACTAATACTGTGAATCGCGAACCAGCTCACTATGAACCTTCGACTCCCATGCGAGTCAAGCTATCGATCGCACCCGATCGCACCTTCACCTTTCAACTCAGCTCACCTCCTACCTCCCACTTTTTTTTCAAGACACTCGGAATTGCTAAAGGAGCCGGTGACACCGGCAAAGTGGGATCTATACCAGTGGGCGAACTTAGCCTGAAGCACGTGTACGAGATTGCAAAAATCAAGAAATCAGATCCAGGCATGGATCACATCCCCCTAGAAAGTGTTGCGCGAAGTGTTGTAGCTCAAGCTCATAATATGGGTATCAAGGTCATTGCATGAAGGAACTTTCCAGCCATCTGCCCTGCTCCGACAGCCTCAGGCGAGATATGTGCGATCAGAATCCAGCGGCTTGAATATGATTGACCGCCGAATTGTACCGAAACTCACAAAAGTACCATATCTACACCTCGAAAGCCCGGGTAAACAGGTTGAGCTCGTCACTATGTTGACACGCAGCCCGATATCCACACTGCACGCGATTCGCATGGGTATCAAAGAAGACAGCCAAGCACCATCGGCATCAATTTTAGCCCGAAAAACTTGGTTTTGTTGACACTAAGCTTGTGTCAAAATGTCGATTACCACCAGTAGTACTCGTATTCAGTCATATCCACGAGGCTTGCAATGAATTGTATCTATCTTTGACAACCTCCGGATACTGAAGAAAAGCATCTTTGCTCAGTCAAGCCCCTTACCTCTGAGTCAATTCCCAGCTATACGTCACCCGCAGCGGAGGAGCCATCAGCAATAATTTTCTCACTTTGAAGAGCGGTGCTGTCCTCTGGTGTGTTTTGATATAGACCAGGGGGTATAAGCGACCGCACAGGAGCCGTTTTCGAGATGTCTCAGCAACGAGAGTATCCGAAGCTCAAAGCAAATACGAGCGATCTGAGTGATAAGGTTGGATCACGTTGAAGACAAAATAAAGAAAGGATATCAACACTTTTGGTGCTTGATCTAAAACTAGCATTGCCATGGGTTCAAGTTAAATAACAACAACAAAGAGAATCATTCATATCAATTAGTAACATAACAGAACAAAAAATAGTGAAGATGGATTATATATGAGATAAGCTATAGTGAAAGATGGAATGAGGAGTGATAATATAAAGGGATTGACTTACTCTTTTCCTCCCGTACAATCATGGTTGAGCAAAAGAGTATGTACGTGTCTTGAGGCTGGCCTAGTTTAAATTTGAGATAAATGGGGTGCGGGATTATAATTCAATATCATCATTAAACTTGAATCTGGACTACAATAGGTACCAATGCTTTTGGTTGTGTGTCAGATGCTTTCAATCCCGTGGTCATGGTAAACAAAGCAGACACAGTGCTTTTTGTCCAATGCCACATGCCTTGGTCTGAATCTGATCTCATCATACTTACTGTCTTGCATCATCTCCACAATGAAGTAAATCACTGTTTTTTGTGTTGCACCTGCACTCCAGTGAGAGACCATTGATATTGTGCAAATGTTTAATGATACATGATGGCTGCTCAGTTGTCTACTGCTTGAATCAACACCTGTCTCCTTGCCTTCTTCAGACTTCTTCAGAAGCCCCACTAGATAAAATGATTCACAAAAAGTAATTTTTACCAGAGTGCTTACCAAAAGAGGTTTTTGATCAAACAATGATGTGGTTTTGTAGGTACCTTTAAAAGGACACCTCCATTTAACTAATGACTACTGGTCTTCATTACAGTTTTGCATCAAAAGCAGTTTACCATGTTCAAAATAGTTTTTTCCTTCCCACCAAACATTTTCACCACCAAACATTTTCCCATCACTACTTTGCACTTCATCCATACCAATGGATAATGTTATATCCTGTATCCAAAATTCTATCCAAGTGTAGCTCTCCTTCAATAATGCTGTTCCTATGTACTGGGTTATGGGAATGTCAAAATCATATGGGCAACTGATTCTGATTCTGAATACCAAATCAATAGCTTATTAATTCTTAGACACATGAGTATGAAAGGTGATTCATATTCACTCCTACATAACACCCCCTTCGGTAACGCAAAAGTTACATGTGTGACCGAATGCGCACCACCAAAAATGTGCAGTGATATTCGGTTGCACATGTGACCCGATTTTGTCATTCGGTAAACCCGAGTGCAACAAAAGGCGCACACGTATTCTTGCATATATATGCAAAAAACGTGCATATTCTTGAAAACAAAAAAAAAGTCGTTTTTCTTTTTGATATATGCAACTTCAACAGTGTGCGACTTCTTTCGCACTCGGTTCTAAATTCATCAAGGTGAGTTTTTTCTTACTTGTCTCTTTTCCTCTTTTTTTCTACCTTGTCCTTTCCCTCTACCTCTTCCTCGTTTCTAACCATTCTCCCTTTTTGTTGCTCTTCACACCAATCCCGATGCGACTCCCTTCGATTGACTCAATCTAATTTTTAACCCGAATTCACAACTTATCAACTTCAAACAACCCTTATTCATTTGAATCAAAACCTCATTCAATCAAAATCAAATCATAATCAGTCAACATCAACACCAAATAATTAGATTAGGAACTTTTCCATTTGAAATAACATCAATTTATATCAAAATAAATCATAATCGAGTAAAATCAGAATCGAATCATTTGTATGTAGAATGATTTGTATAGTTGAGCATGATTCCACCAAATGAATTTATAAATGTATCCTAGGCTTCTCTCTCTCTCAATGAATTGTTTTTCATGGAGTTGTGATTGAATATGACAGAAATTTGAATTATAGACAGGGGAAGGACAATGAGGGATACGAAGGGGAAATGAGCAGAATCGAGTTATTTGTACTCAATCAATTCATTCAAATCCCACTCATTGGTAATGAATCACAGAATGCATGGATCATAGATTGTTTACCGAATGGCGAAGCTGCGGTAAACTCATCAATGATCGTATAATCGACCTCTGACAAGTTTACCAAATGTCTTCACAAAAGGCATATGTATTCATGCACACACGGTGAGAAAATTTCTCACCGTGATACAAAAGTCGCATATGTAACTTTATGCGACTTTTGTTACCGAAGGGGGTGTAATGTGTTTGATTGAATGGCTGATGGCTATCCTCATTTTTGCAGAATTACAGGGCACAAATAACTCATCCTTCTGGACCAGTTTTGTTGGTAATTCTAAGCGCAAAGTCAGATATAATTTTGTTGTGCTTGTCTCTGAACAATGTTGACTAGAATTAATTTTGTCCAAAATATAACATTGTTGTTTGCCAATTTCACAACTCTATAAGACTTGGCTTTTTCAGGCACAGCGTCCTTGCCCTATAAATAATGAGTAGTATTGTAAACATTTTGCATTATTGAGTCAGGTATTATGATACATCACACTGTGCCACACATGCAAAGATGAATCAAGTACAATTTGTATCTATCTCTTTCCCATTCTAGACTCATCTTTGCATAAGGACACAGGGGGCCCTAGTAAGAGTTAAATCTTGAGCTAACACCAGATCCCCCCTTGACCTCAAGTGGGGTCAGAGTCTTGCAGTTGCATACAGACTGCATTGCAACTATGTCCCATCTGAGCAGCTCAGATATGCATGTTTCCACTGCCTTAGATCAATGAGTATCAATGAGCAGCTATGCATGCTCAGCAATTCCTCTAAACTTTAGGGAACATGGGGCTATTGAGAGGTCCAAGAATGAGTCTCAGTTGCTGGGGACCAGGAATTTCACAGCCTTTTACAGTTGTCCCATACCCTGTGAAACAACCCGCAGCTCTGACACACACATAACCATTGTGTCACACCTTTACTGAGATCCCCTTTCCTGCTTGATGCCTCATCACACTTCCCCTGTTGGAGCATTGGCTACACCGCAAAGACACACAAATGTTATAGGGACAACTGGTTTTTGTTGCAGGGGGAGGGACATCCTGACAAAACTGATCCAAGGAGCCCAAATCTGTCCCGGATTTTGGATACCCAGCAGCCTCAAAAGCATGTCAAAACTATGTTGTGCTTGCTGACGTGACTGAGGCTTCATGTATGAGTGCCTCAGAGCTGGGTCCTCTGAATGGCATTGCAATGTCTAATTGAGTCAGCACAAGATGTCTGAGAGGCTTTTATAACCATCCAGACATATTATGTCAGCCCTGAGTACATAAACATGTACCCAAAACTAACTTATAATATAGAACTTTCCCATATAAATTTGATTACATGTACATGCAGCTTATAAAACACATTTAACATGTAATAAAACATATACAGACATTGATTACATATACATATACACTTAAAATCATATGTAATATGTAATAAAACATCATTTTTACCTCATAACTCAGTGTCAAGAGTTAAAATGCTTATACTACATAATTTACATAACATGTATATGTAAGTATGTAGTGTTTGTAATAATCATAACTAATAGTACTAATTAAACCCTAAACCAAGGTAGTGATGTAAACAAATATCACTACAGTTAGGTTTGGAGAGGAGAGTATATAAACTCCTCCTCTCTCAGCCTTCAGAGATTTCCCCCCAAGCAATTATTACACCATACTTTTAAAGAACAGCATTAAAGTTCTATTGAAGTAACATCAAGAGTCTTATAAATATAAGACTAGTGATAACTTCATAACTTTAATCAGCTTCCTGACTAAAAGTAAGTAGTAATCTCTTCACTTTGTCTGGGTCCTCTACTTTCCCTAAGTAGAAATCTTTCAGGTTAGTGACCTTCCAATTAACTTCAGGTTGGTTACCTTTTGAACAACCACAGGTTAGTGACCTACATCAACTCACAGGTTAGTGCACCTTTTGAACAACTACAGGTTAGTGACCTATATCAACTCACAGGTTAGTGCACCTTTTGAACAACTACAAGTTGGTGACTTTAGAATAACCAGATTAGTGACCTTCACCTCACTCTTTAATCTGTTACCATAAGGATTAAAGTAGAGCCTTGGACCCAGCTCTTTTATTTCATAATAATTATGAATTATAATTCAAACCTCCTTTTTAAGGAGTCATCTAACTGTAGTCTGTCTGGATTTATCCAAACAGACTGTTAGTCCCTTTTCCTTTCTTGCTTTTGTTTTTATTCTCATTGTATTTACAAACTTATCTTTGAAATACAACTACTTTAAATCAAAAGAACCCACCTTATCTTCCATTAGTGAGCTTAGAGTACTCTAAAAGAATACCCTACCCTCACATTTGGGGGCCTCATCGTGTTGAAACCCAAATTTCAACCTCAAACTTTCTACCAAAAGTGTGAGATTCATCAAACTAGACACAATCAATTACTATATATCGTAATAAATAAAACTAAGCATTGTGACTGATCACCAATTGCCTTACCAAATCATTATCAAAACCAAAGCACTCAATTCACAAGTGATTATTCTTTTTAGTCAAACCTCCCAGCTTATTTTATTTTATCTTTCCCTCTTTGAGTGACACGCTGAAAATATCTTGTTCGGTCATTTTCTCAAACTTGAGCAAAGTAAAAAGCCCGGATTACAACAATAAAGTCAGACGTGTTGCGTGTTATCACATTACAGAAGGGGGATTTAAAAAAAAAAAATCCGAAAGATCCTTACGCAAAGTTCCGAAGGCAGGATACCTTCCACAACTCTCCCTTAACAAAATCAAAACAAGAAGGAATCATTCACATTTCAGGAT